AGAATCCAAAGACTCCAATTCTTTACACTATACCAAAGATACACAAGAATCCCATTAAGCCTCCAGGGAGACCGATAGTATCAGCAATAGGAGGGATCTTAGAACCGATTGCGAAATGGCTGGATTCCCTATTCCAAGCACCCATAGCAGAGATACAGACTTGCATCAAGGATACACCGACGTTGATAAGGAAATTGGACTCATTAGACTTTGGCGAGGAACCCATCATTCTAATCACCATGGATGTGAGTAATCTATATACAATTATTCCACACCAGGAGGGGATAGAAGCCATGAGACAAATTTTATGCATGGCTACTTCATATGTGGGACCTCCAATCGAATTTGTCTTGGAATTATTGTCTTTAACTCTCCAACAAAATTATTTTAGATTTGAAGATGACTGGTTCCTACAAGTAGCGGGCACCTCTATGGGGGCAGCGATGGCCCCAATGTATGCCAATTCCTATATGCATATTTATGAGAAAGAACATATCTTTTCCAAATTTAATCATCTTATTACTGCGTATTTTCGTTACATCGACGATTTGTTGATCCTTTGGAAGGGCACTGAATTGGAAGCACAGCAAATGGTTCACTATCTGAATGAACTTAACACTCCAGTCAGGTTTACGTCCAATATTAGTACAAAGATGATTCAATTTCTGGATTTAGAGATATCTGTTAAAGAACATGGAGTATCTTATTGTCTATATAGAAAAGACACCGATCGGAACACATTGTTGCACAATAAAAGTGCACATCCAAAAATGTTGAAAAAATCGCTTCCTAAGGCACAATTCTTAAGAGTTATACGTAATAATTCAGATCAACTCAAGATGCAACAACAGTTGGAAGAGATGAATAAAAAATTCCTTGAAAGAGGTTATTATAGACAGGAACTGTTAAAAGCACAACAAGATGCGCAAATGGCCAATACCGCCATACGTACCAAAAACCACCGTCCTTGGTATTTCCAATGGCTTACAATGACGCTTCACCCAAAATAGTCAAAATTATCAAACAAAATTGGAAGATGCTTGCAACGGACGACACTTTGCCTAAAGTTTTTAAAGAACATCCATTGATTAGTTTCAAGAGAAACAAAACACTAAAGGATATGTTGGTACATACAGATCCTATAAACAGTTACAATCAGGGAACTGATATCCAATACCGAGACAGTGTCCGATGTTTGGGATGCGTCACTTGCAGCCATATGACCCCGGCTAAATCCTTTCAACATCCACATAATAATAAGGTGTTTAAGATAAAACACACAATTACATGTAAAACACCTTTTGTGATCTACAAATTAATGTGTCCATGCGGGTTAGCCTACATTGGCAAAACTGAAACCCCACTATGTGAGAGAATACGGGGACACAGATCAGCAATACGGGTGGCTTTCAGGGATGGACATTCAGAACAACCTGTGGCACAACATTTTCTTGAAATGAAACATCCTCTTTCCTCTTTGAAGTTTATCGCAATAGATCATATCCCAAAACCCAGGCGAGGAGGGGACCGCGGCAAAATGCTCCTTAATAGAGAGACAGAATGGATTTTCCAATTGAACACGATTGCACCTAGAGGACTCAATGAGATGCTTTCTTATCATTCATTTCTGTAGTTATGACCCCAAAAAGCAATAGGAATTTTGTTTTTATGATAATAATTTTTATGATACTTTTTATGATGTTTTTTATGTGTAAATCTATACCTTCAAGCCCTCAATATTTTGATATATTTTTTATCCATTGATATAGAATTGCTATTTGCACTGGAAAGCACTTTTTTACTATAAGTAATATTACATCACTGTTAGCACTTTATTATCATTATAGCACCTTTTCATAAGCACTTTATTTCCAGTATAATAGTACTGGTCTTCAGTACTTCATTACACATTGGCACTTTAAGGCTAGTATTCACTTGCCAGAATTAGGGTTTTTACTAATATCTATATAAATATATATAGCTTCCTTTGCACTTTTCATACACATCAGTATCATTGCATAGTTTCATAAACCTTTCATTTTTTCATTATGTTCTAGTACCAGGATGATTGGACTAGTACTTGTGAATATTAATTGAATGTATAACTTTGTAGTTACATTGCCGGGTTGCCATAACAACCGGATACACATGCTATTCACTATCAGTCACTTCCTGTTTCTTCCCATGTGACTCTAGCGTTGCCGCGGCAACGCGTGATGTCATCACGCACACGTAGGGGCGGGGCCACGTCCGCGCATGCGCACGGAGGTATGGTGGACGCCAGGGGAACACACCCATCACTCTGAGCACAGGGGTAAGTCATTATTGATTTAATTTCACTAATACTTGAGGTATATAAATGTAATGTTTTGCATTGTTTCATATGTTTGATCCTGATGAAAGTTCCAGATAGGAACTGAAACGTTGATCTTTTAAATGGAATTTCAATAAACTGTAAGTTTTAAACTCAACAAAAGTCCGAGAGTGCTGATCACTACTTCACCATATGCAATTTTTCCCTGGATTACAAGCACCCGGCTTACAACTGTCTACAAGCATGAGTGCAAGGAAACCCTGTATGTTGTATATATATATATATATATATATATATATATATATATATAATACACAAGATCCAGCGCACTCACCTATCCACTAAACAGCAACTTCAATGTTGAAAGATTTTATTTGTTTTTTTTTTAAAAACACCTAATCTAGGCAAAATAATGGGGGTTTAGTTACATTTTATGATCATACATTGCATAAGCCTGCCACAACGTCAATGTACCCCATCTTTGGCAGGTCCTACACTAACAGCCTAATGTCTGCTCTTATGAGATTAACCTACATGGGGGAAAAAATTCCATCTGGGGCTCTCTGCAGTACAAGGCTAAATAGGGCCCTGGGATGAGGCACCTGTGACAGGGAGGGGTGCAAAACCAAGGAGTTGGCTAGACTCCCAAATATATATAAAACAAGAGGGGTTGGCTGCACTCACCTTAACATGCATAAATGGGGGTGCTGCTGGGGGCCAAATAATACAATACACAAGATCCAGCGCACTCACCTATCCACTAAACAGCAACTTCAATGTTGAAAGATTTTTTTTTTTTTTTTAAACACCTAATCTAGGCAAAAATAATGGGGGTTTAGTTACATTATATGATCATACATTGCATAAGCCTGCCACAACGTCAATGTACCCCATCTTTGGCAGGTCCTACACTAACAGCCTAATGTCTGCTCTTATGAGATTAACCTACTTGGGGAAAAAAAATCCATCTGGGGCTCTCTGCAGTACAAGGCTAAATAGGGGCCTGGGATGAGGCACCTGTGACATGGAGGGGTGCAAAACCAAGGAGTTGGCTAGACTCCCAAATATATATATAAAACAAGGGAGGGTTGGCTGCACTCACCTTAACATGCATAAATGGGGGTGCTGCTGGGGGCCAAATAATACAATACACAAGATCCAGCGCACTCACCTATCCACTAAACAGCAACTTCAATGAGTCTAGCCAACGCCTTGGTTTTGCACCCCTCCCTGTCACAGGTGCCTCATCCCAGGGCCCTATTGAGCCTTGTACTGCAGAGAGCCCCAGATGGAATTTTTTTCCCCAAGTAAGTTAATCTCATAAGAGCAGATATTAGGCTGTTAGTGTAGGACCTGCCAAAGATGGGGTACATTGACGTTGTGGCAGGCTTATGCAATGTATGATCATATAATGTAACTAAACCCCCATTATTTTTGCCTAGATTAGGTGTTTTAAAAAAAAATAAAATAAAATCTTTCAACATTGAAGTTGCTGTTTAGTGGATAGGTGAGTGCGCTGGATCTTGTGTATTATATATATATATATATATATATATATATATATATATATACTGCTCAAAAACATAAAGGGAACACTTAAACAACACAATGTAACTCCAGGTAAATCACACATCTGTGAAATCAAACTGTCCACTTAGGAAGCAACACTGAGTGACAATCAATTTCACATGTTGTTGTGCAAAGTTTTATCCTGCAATCCATGAACCACTTTAGTAGCCCTTCTCTGAACTCTCTCTAAAGTATCAATATCCTGCTGGAGATACGGTGTCCAGTATTGCGTACAATACTCCAAGTGAGGCCTCACCAGTGTTCTGTACAATGGCAATGGCCTCTTTCTACTGCTAATACCTCTCCCTATACAACCAAGCATTCTGCTAGCATTTCGTGCCGCTCAATTACATTGTCTGCCTACCTTTAAGTCATCAGAAATAATCACCCCTAAATCCCTTTCCTCAGATGTTGAGGTTAGTAGGGTATCAAATATTCTGTACTCTGCCCTTGGGTTTTTACGTCCAAGATGCATTATCTTGCACTTATCCACATTAAATGTCAGCTGCCACAACTCTGACCATTTTTCTAGTTTACCTAAATCATTTGCCATTTGGCTCATCCCTCCTGGAACATCAACCCTGTTACATATCTTAGTATCTTTGGCAAAAATACATACCTTACCATCAAGAACTTCTGCAATATCACTAATAAAAATATTAAAGAGAATAGGTCCAAGTACAGATCCCTGAGGTACCCCACTGGTGACAAGACCATGGTTCGAATATATTCCATTGACTACAATCCTCTGTTGCCTGTCACTCAGCCACTGCCTTACCCATTCAACAATATTGGAATCCAAACTTAAAGATTACAGTTTATTGATAAGCCTTCTATGTGCAACAGTGTCAAAAGCCTTACTGAAATCTAGGTAAGCAATGTCTACTGCACCATCCTGATCTATTATTTTTGGTTACCCAATCATTCTTGTTATGTGAGATAATATTTTCATATGTTTACAGTTTAAACACATTTGTTATTAGTTGTATGATTAACTTGTTGATATATTCCCACTGTTTTCAAAATATTCTAGTTCACTTCAATTTTCCATCCACAATCAAGGTATAAAAGAGGCAATGAGTCTTAAACAAAGCTCATTGACTGAGAGTTACTCAAAATGTTCCGATTCCTTCTCCCTTTGGCTCTAGTCCTTTGTGGTAAGTTTTTCGTTTTGGAAAATAACACTTAAAATTCTAAGCAGAGAAGGAGAGAAATACTGTCCTATGCTGAGATAATTTTAAAACATAACTTTTAATAATAGAATAGATAAAAATAAATAATAATAATAATTATAGAAAGTGTAGACAAAAAAAATGCTTTCAAAAATGTAAATGTGTGATAAGGGAATTTAGAAGAGATAATATATGAAACTTAAAGAGTATTAAACCAATAGACAAAATGTCCTTAGACAGAATGTCTGTGTAGACAGACCTAAGGAAAGATATATATATATATATATATATATATATATATATCTTTACTATGAATTCTAAAGTCTCATTAGATAGTACGGTCTACACATGTGCAAGGGCTATATAACGTAACTTATTAATGTTGCAATAAAGTATACAATTGCTGTAGCAGCATGAGGAGCATAAATACAACTAGTCCAAATCCAATTATTAATTAGCAACAGTTATGTTAGTGCCATGATCAAAAATGCTGGAGATTGTAAAATCTATTAGTACTAGTTGGCGTTACAAGTAGGATTCCAGAGTGAATCTATTAAATTAATGTAACTTTGATCTGTGCCTTCAAGGGCACCTTTCTGTATTATCGGCTACTGAGCTGACTTCCTAACTGAAAATTCTATTTAGTGCTAGCATGCATGAAATTTAACATCCAGAATTTATTCTAATGGATGTGTGAAGTTCAACTGTGCCTTCGAGGGCACCTATCCAAATAAGTAACTGCTCAACTAGCTTGCTAACATAAGAACCCCCTGCAAGACACAACACTGCGTCAATTTAATGGCAAATTTTTGTCTGCAGTGTATCACTGCGCTGTATCAGTGCTCGCCGTGGTTTTGCAGATGGCTAAATCAGTCCGAAGCCACAAGCCACCCGAAGTGTTAAATAGATTATTGAAGAGAATCCCAAAACTTTCTATTAATCAAAACAAGAGTGGTCTAAGAATTTAATCGAGAGGCTGAGTCTCAAGCCCCGACGCACGTTTCTCCGGTAAGCGGCTCTTCAAATTTTACTGAAAATTCTTAGAATATTCTCACAACTCAGCGTGTAGAATTCTGTTAGAATTCAAAGAAGGTAATCTGAATTCTGTACTAAAAGTAGAATTAACAGTATTGTAAAAACAAAAAAAAAACACTTAAAGATGCTTCAAACTATTTAAAATTGTTAACCTGAAGAATTATCAAAGTATTATGAGAAGATATATTGAATTCATTTTATTAATACATAACTAGAAGGAATATATTATTTTATTTACATTTTTATTACCTTTATTTCACTTTTAAAGTATGTCCTGGAGTGTAGACAGGACTGGACTTGCCCACTGGGATACCAGGGAATTTCCCAGTGGACCGGCATACCTTTAGAGCCGGTGCACCGGCCTTAGGGGTGCATTTGCCGGGTGACAGGTAGGCATGAAGCCCACAGCACAGTGTGCTCCCTTCCTAATAGTCACTTCATGTAGCATGACTGAGCAGATCTTCTGTATCCTCTACCCGGTCTGACAGGAAGTGCTCATTGAGAGCGCATTCTTTCAAACTGGGTAGAGGATACACAAGATCCTCTTTCTCAGTCTGCTCAGCCACGCTACAGGATAAGTGAGCAGACATAGGGGGGAGAAATTAGACACATGAATGAGCTGGGGTAATACATGAAGGGGCTGGGTAGGAAATTAGACACATGGAGGGGCAGGGAAGGGAATGACACATAGAGGGTCTGGAGAAAATGAGACACATGGAGGGGATGGGGGAAATAAGACACACAGGGGAGCTGGGGGGGAAATAAGACACTTAGAGGGGTTGGGGGTGATAAGACACATGGAGGTGCTGGGAAAGACAGAGACACACAGGGGCTGGAAAAAAAGAGACACACATATTGGCAGAGAGAGCCACACAAAGAGATTTGGGGGGAGTAAGAGACAGGCTGGGGAAGAAAGAAACACACAAAATTAATTTTGGGGAGAAAGAAACACACAGAAGGGCTGGGAAATGTGAAAAAGAGACACACAGAGGGGCTGAGGAAGGGAAACAAGAGGGCCTGTGGGGAAAGAAAAATACAGAAGTGCTCATGTGGAAGAAAGAGACACATAAGGGCTTGGAAAGGGTCAAAATAAGAAGACAAATAGGATGGGGGATGGGGGACAGAGGCACACAGAGGGCTGGTGAAGGGGAGAAGGAGACAATGTGACTGGAGCTAAAATACTCACCAAAGAGGCTTGGGTTAGTGGAAGGAAGACACACAAAAGGTGATGGAGGGAAGAGACAGTAACGGGAGTCAAACCCCGACATGCAGGAAAAAGGTAACCCACAAAAGGTGGATCTGAAAGACGTATTTCCAAGCCTTAGAATGGCCGAACTTAACGTATTGATATAGCGAGAATCATGGTCAAGAAAAAATCAAAGTCAGGGATACAGAAATACACAAAGTCAAAACAAAGCTGGGTCAGGATACCAGAAAATGTACGCGTTAAATATCAAGCTGGGTTAGGATACCAGAGATCACAAGTTAAATATGAAGCTGAGGTCAGGATACCAGAAATCACAAGTCAAATATGAAGCTGAGGTCAGGATACCAGAAATCACAAGGGAATCTCTAGGAGCATTAAGCAAGGATCTAAAAAGACACCACTATATGGTAATAAATGGGGGCTAAAACAAGCCTTAAATAGGTTTATCTATGTTCTGATAGGTCCATGTCATCATTGTGACTCAAAATAGATTAGGCGGATGATGTGCTCACTTTAAGAACAGGAGAGACGTCATGCCTACACCTCAGGGCCATACTGCTTACAATGGACCAGATACTGGAGATTACCCCTTAGGAACCTAGAGTCAAGGATAGCAACATCCTCATACTACTCAACCTCCTCAACTGATACAGGAGGTTGAGAAGTGTGAGGTCCAGTAAATCGATTACAGATCACAGAGGTTTTAACAGGGAGGTATAGAAGGCATGAGGTATACTTATGGAATGAGACAATTCTAGAGCATACAATACAGGATTCACTTTGCGCAAGATGAGGAAAGGACCAATGAAACGAGGAGCGAACATAATGGAGGGCACACGAAGACTGATATTTTGGGTAGAAAGCCAAACGCTATCCCCCACCACATAGGAAGTAACTACACAACAATGCCTATCTGCCTGTGTTTCTGAGCAGCATTAGCCAATAGCTTTCGAACCTGTTCCCAAGTACTACGTAAACCAGCCATGTGCTCATCCAGAGTTGGCATCCCCTGTGAGAAGAATGCAGTCAGGAGAAAAACAGGATGCCCGTCATAGACTACGTAAAAAGGGCTAAAACCCGAGGATTCATGAGCAGCATTAATGCGAGCAACCTCAGCCCAAGGAAGCAGGTCAACCCAATTATCTTGGTGATGAGAAACAAAACAACGTAGATACTGCTCAAGAGACTGGTTTGGCACGTTCGGCAGCTTCATTAGTCTGAGGATGGTAAGTGGAGGAAAAGGACAATTCAATACCCATCTCCGACCAAAAGGTCCTCCAGAAGCGAGAAAGAAATTGAGTACCTCTGACAGATACTATTTGTTCTGGTATGCCATGTAGACGGAATAACTCCCTGAAGAAAATCCTAGCTAATTCAGCTGAGATGGGGAGTTTCCTCAGGGCTATGAAATGTGCCATCTTGAAAAACCTATCTACGACCATAAGTATGACAGTACGTCTGTTAGAAGGGGGAAGTTCTACTATAAAATCAATAGACAAATTGGACCAGGGCTTAGTGGGTTGGGTTAAAGGTATGAGCAATCCACATGGTCTTTCGTGTCCTTCTCTACAGAAGGCCACCAGAAGTCACGAGCTACAAGGTTTGTGGTCTTGATTATTCCAGGATGCCCGGTGGGTTTGCTGTCATGACATTAAGACATAACTTTATTGTCTGACAGTAGGTGTAACAAACAATTTATCGCTAGACATGTCTTCAGGGGACTCAGATTGAGTAGATATGATGTGTCTTAACAGTGAAGAGGAGACGGAAAGAACTGTTGAAGCTACAATTCTTTCTAGGGGAATGATATAACACTCCTTGGTTCTCTCCTCTTCACTCACATCAAACTGCCTGGACAAAGCATCGGCTTTGGTATTGCGTAGTCCAGGTCTATCAGTAATTATAAAATTAAATCTGGACAGAAAGAGAGACAATCTAGAATGCCTGGAATTCAATTGTTTCACCTCTCCAAAGTACAGAAGGTTCTTATGATCCATTAGCACCGTGATGAGATCTTTTGAGCCTTCTAGGAGATGTCTCCACTCCTTCGAGGCTACGATAATGGCCAATAGTTCTCTATTGCCAATAGCATAGTTCTGTTTCACCTGTGAGAGTTTCCTAGAGAAGAAACCACATGGGTGCAAAGTTGGTCAGGGGACAAGCGCTGGGAAAGAATAGCTCCTACTTCTACCTCAGAAGCATCTACTTCTAATACAAAAGGAAGGGTCAGGATGTCTGAGGATAACAGTGGAAACAAAAGCTCTCTTCAGGCTCTCCATTGCCTCGTGGGGCCAAGCATACTGATTGGCAGTCTTCTTAGTGAGGTTCGTTATAGGGGCTATAATGATAGAGAAGTTTTTTTTTTTCAATTTGACAATATTTATTTTGTCATAAAATAAACACAGATAAGGTACAGAAGAAAAAGGGAGGGAGGGATAAAAAAATGTAGACTTGTTACATACATGCTTCATAATTTTGTATCAGAACAGATATACAACACTGCAATGTTCAATATAGTGCATAACCAATAATGACACATATATCATAGCGTCCTAGGTTTGAGCAGGAATAGGGTGTGCTACATGGACTGTGTGGGTCTATAAGGTCTCTAGCGGCCAAGCTTTAAGTAAATCGTCTGGCATTTACTCTCATGCATCTACCTTATATCTGTAGTATATCTGTTGTGTAGCAGGGTTACTCCCTGTCCCATTAGGTGATATTAGATGGATTACCATGTTGGAGTCGTAGGGGCTATAGAGAATAGTGTCTTATGTCATATCAATCACTGTGTCTGTTAGCATTAGATGATTTGTTCAGGTATAAGGACATTGCATGTTTGGCAGCTCGTCTGTGAGTTCGTCTCACCAAGAGTGGCTCAACCAAGGTGAACAGGAGAGGGAAGGGAAAGGGATGAAAGATAACAGTGAAAGGCGGGGGAAGGCGGGGAGGGGACAACCAGCCTAAAAAGGTCTGCAGAACCCTTCAATTACTTATAATAAGGCAGCTCCTCAGTTCGAGAGTCATTGTGGATCATGTCATACATCCAAAGTTTTTTGTCTTTGTCTGGATGTGTTAGCATGTAAAAACTTTTTTTTTAACAGGTAAAACCATATATATTAGGGTACATTAGCAGTTTGTCTGAGATCATCAATATTGAAGATGTCAAGTGAGTGGGCAGAAAATTCTTTAAAGAAACCAACGGGAGTGCCCAGACTTTCATACTTGTTACTATTGCATATGCTTGGGAAAATCAACCTACCTGTTTGGAGCACCCTGGTGGGAGTTTTTCCCAGATATTTAACCTCTTTCAGAATACCTTTACTCATCAACAGTTATATCATTATCCAATAGCTTGCACATAGTAAGTTTTTAAGGTTGTAATTTTCAAGATTTCAAAATAATTCATATTCATATATTTATAATAAAGTTACCTTGTTATCAACAAGAGTACAGAGAGTTGTCATTAATGGTACATTTTCAAGCTGGACAAATGTGGTGTCCATTAGAGTTCTGTTAGGGGACCGCTTCTATTAAACATATTTATAAATGATCTTGCAATAAACATTGAAAGTCATGTTTTGTTGCTTGCAGATGAAAAGAGATGTGAGAGAGTCTGAACTTGATGGGCATGTGTCTGTTTTTAACTATGTTACTATAAATATGTGCATTTGTTTTAAATACATGTACACAAACATGTATTCCTGACCACATAGTTAAAAACAATGTCTAGTCCCCCTGCCACCTCTAAATATAGTAAAATCCTATATATATTCCAGTCTGCTGGTGCTGGCTCTGTCTCTGATCTGCCACTTTGGCTGACAATCAGAAGTGATGATCTCAGGCAATCACAAGGTGTTCCTATAGGAAAGCATTGGATTGGCTGAGATTGTCAAGTAGGTAGATTAGGGGCAGAGCTAGTACAAGCCAAACACATCCCTGGCCAATCACCTTCTCCTTATAGGTATGCATTGAATGAGGAAAGTTCAGTGTCTCTATGCAGAGGTTGGAGACACTGAATCTCAGTGCTGCACACTGTGCAGCACTGCCCCAGGAAGCACCTCTAGTAGCAATCTGAGGAGTGGCCAGTGGATATATCACTATGCTGTAATGTAAACACTGAAAAGACAGTGTTTATTGCAAAAAGCCAGCAGGGACTGACTATACTCACCAGAGCAACTACATTAAGCTGTAGTTGTTCTAGTGTCCCTTTAATTATTTTGGTTGCTGTTGGGGCATCATCACTAGTATAAGTCTCAAGTACCATTGATTTAAATGCATTTAAAGTAATATTTCCCAAATCATTCAATTCCCATAGGACATTGTGCTGATGACATCCAGTTTTTGGAGGATATAAATCCCTGGATGTTTGGAGGAACTGATGCAGCCAAAAATGCATGGCCCTGGCAGGTAAACGTTAATTCCCAAGTAAAATGGATTTTATAAAAAAACAAAAACCTGATATATTGTATTTAAAAAGTGGAAATTCTTATTTCAGCACACTCTACAGGATCCACTGCTAATATTTAATATGTAATAATAACAATAATAATATGTAATAATAATACATGCTTTATTGTAATTTAGAATTTATATTAAATATTGACTTCTATCTAGCTAATTTACTTAATTATCTCAATTACTTAATTTATTCATTTAATAGACAATTGAAGTGACTTGAGATTCCAGGTTGAAAATGTAGGTTAAATTGGATACTTTTTTCAGTGTAGATTATTTGGGCACAAAACATTGAGTTCCCTTTCACTTTGTTACAATCACTGTCTAGTAAAAGAGCCTTCACTCTGAAATAAACACAGTTACACTAAACTCTGACTTTTTACTAATTAGTCAGAAAATGTCAAATTGCCTAAAAATAAGTGTCCATGAGGCTTGAAACGCATTAGCATCCTCTGGTGATCCCCCCATATCATAGCTTTATGATAATTATAAATGTATTTGCTCTTTTTCATCAGGTTTCACTCCAGTATCAGTCTGGCAACAGCTATCATCACACCTGTGGAGGTTCTCTGATTCGTCCTAACCGTGTCCTGACCACTGCTCACTGTGTAGACGTGTATGTATACAGTCCAAATCCATAAATCAATTCATACACTATTGCTGGTTCATAAATTATATATTACAATTCAATACTATATTAACATACAATAATCACTTCAGGAACACAATTAGTTTTTTCTTTGAAATATTAATGTATCCCCTCAACATGCATCTTTATTTCTTTTACATCACAAATTAAGAATATTAAAACTGTAATGCAGTTAAAGGGAAACTCCAGTGCCAGGAAAACAATCAATTTTCCTGGCACTGCAGGTAACCCTCTCCCTCCCACCTCCCATCCTTGGTTGCTGAAGTGGTGAAAATCCATTCAGTAACTTACCAGAGGCAGCGACGATGTCCCACGTTGCTGCTTATTCCTCTGCCGCCGCTCCTCCCAGTGATTGCGTCGGCCAGTGGGCGAGACTGATCCCGCCCACTGGCCAGAGAGACCTAATGCTCATGCGCGGCAATGCCGTGCATGCACATTAGAGCTCCCCATAGAAAATCATTGAAAGTGCTTTTAAATGCTTTCCTATGGGGAAATGAGCGACGCTGGAGGTCCTCACACAGCCATAATGAAGGCAAAGCATGAGGGATGATGAAAGTAGTCTACTCCTGTTCTAGGGTATTGAAGTCAGACATAGACTTTATGCTTTTATCACATTATAGTTGTAATGTAGTGATGCCATGCTCAGCTGTAATACCCTTATACCTTTAGTGCACAAATTCATCCTTTGGAGCAGCCTTACCTTAAAGGGACATTGTAGTCACCCAGACCACTTCAGCCTTTTGAAGTGGTCTGGGTGCCAACTCCCATCACCCTTAACCCTGCAAGTGTAATTATTGTAGTTTTCATAAACTGCAATATTTACATTGCAGGGTTAAGTCCTGCTCTACTGGCTGTCTACCAGACAGCCACTAGAGGGACTTCTGGCTTCTTTGACAACTTTTGGTCGTCTAAACGGCACTGGATGTCCTAACACCTCCAGCGTCAGACAGTGTTTGAAAACTGACTGTCAGTGTCTATGGTCTTCCTTGCTATTCTGCAGTTAGCATAGGCATGCGCTCATGATGTGCCGGGTGTACCCAGACACACCCTAATGCACCCAAGAAGCAAGACCAGCCTTTCACCTATTTATTTATTTTAACATCAGTTTGATCAATACTATGTATATTATTTAATGTTGTGGGTGAAGAAAAGTGATACAGCTGCGCACCATACAATGCTGCTGTTACCATTGGTGGTATAGTGGTGATATTACCATTGCTGCTGTTACAATTGGTGGTATAGTGGTGGTATTACCATTGCGGCTGCTTACCATTGCTGGTATAGTGGCGGTATTACCATTGCTGCTACTTTCTATTGGTGGTATAATGGTGGTATTACCATTGCTGCTGCTTTCTACTGGTGGTATAGTGGTGATATTACCATTGCTGCTGTTACCATTGATGGTATAGTGGTGGTATTACCATTGCTGCTGCTTACCATTGCTGGTATAGTGGTGGTATTACCATTGCTGCTACTTTCTATTGGTGGTATAGTGGTGGTTTACCATTGCTGCTGCTTACCATTTCTGGTATAGTGGTGGTATTACCATTGCTGCTACTTTCTATCTGGGGTATAGTGGTGGTATTACCATTGGTGGTATTACCATTGCTGCTACTTTCTATTGGGGGTATAGTGGTGGTTTACCATTGCTGGTATAGTGGTGGTATTACCATTGTTGCTGCTTACTATTGGTGGTTTAGTGGTGGTATTTCCATTGCTGCTGCTTACCATTGGTGGTATAGTGCAGCATTAGAGGTCTTCACCGAGCAGAGCTTGTAAGTGAGCAGGAGGCTGTACCATTACATCCCCTCGACTTACCAACAGGCAATGCTCAGTAAATGCCACAGACAGCAGGCATATGGGGAGATACATTGCCTATCTATAATGCATCTCTCACCAGACCACCAGGGATTAGGATTTTCCCTCCATGGTCAGATAAGTCTTATGGGATGGGGAATAAACATTATTTAGGTTTATTTATTTATTTACACACTCTATTCCCATCATCATTAATCCCAGCTAGTGGTGGAACCAGGGTCTGCACAATCATGGACATACCATCAAGTGGCCCATGCACTTGGGGCCATCCGATGGGTTTTGCCAAACAGAGGACTGGTCGGCACAGCAACCCTTTAAGAGCGTGACCGGGTCCCTGTAGTTTTGACCAGCTGAGAGGAAGTTAGAGGCAGAGACTTCTTCCCATATCATACAGAGAGCCATGTAGGAGGGAGGAGGTGGCAGCACAGGCAGCTGGAGGAAGAGAAGGAGGGGTGAGCTGCTGCAGACCCCACACTTACTCACATCAGTCTCAGCTTGCAGGATGCCAAGCAAGCCACCCTCCTGGACACAAAAGATATGCTAACAGGGTGGCTGCAAATATTAAAATTATTTACTTTTATGTGTGTGTGTGTGTGTGTGTGTATGTGTATATGTATGTCAGAGTGTGTGTGTGTGTGTGTGTGTGTGTGTGTCTATATGTCAAGGTGTGTGTATGTATATATCAATGTGTGTATCTGTCTAAAATTGTAAATGTGTTTGTGTGTGTGTGTCAGTGTGCGTGTCTGTGCATCTGTGTGTCAAGATGTGTGTATCTATCTGACAGGGTGTGTGCATGTGTCTGTGTGTGCATGTGTCAGGGTGTTTGTGTGTATGTGCAAATGTGTGTCAGGGAGTGCATCTGTGTGTCAGGGTGTGTATCTGTGTGAGTATCTGTGTGTCATTATGTGCATCTCTGTGTGTGTGTGTGTGTGTGTGTGTGTGTGTGTGTGTGTGCCAGGGTGTGGGTGTGTAGATGTGTCAGGGTGTGTGCATATGTGTGTTAGGGTGTGCGTCTGTATAGAGGTGTGTGTGCGTCTGTGTAGGTGTGTGTAGCTGTGTATGTGAGTGCATGTCAGTGTGGATATGAATGTGTGTGTATGTGTCAGTGTGTTTATATGTATGTATGTATCTGTGTGTAAATGTGTATGTACATCTGTGTAAGAATGTATGTGGCAGTGTATGTGCATGAATCCAAGCAATCAAACACAACCAACACAACATGCATGCACACACCTGCAATCTAACACAAATATTATATTCAAACACAGCCCTGCATTCAAACATCAAAATTATAAACAATCACATCCCTTCATTCTAACTCCAACACACCCCTGTACTAAAACACTAAAATTATATACAAACATCTCTTCATTCAAACATCAACATATAACACAAAAGCACACTTGCATTTAAAAGCCAACACCACATACAAACACACTTCTGCATTCAATCTCAAACACTACACACAAGTACATCACTGCATTCCAATGGAAAGGGTGCATACAAATACACCCTTACATGCACACACATACTTCACACAAAAACATTCTTACATTCAAACGCACAAACGCTTCTCACAAATACAACCCTGGATTGGCAAATAGTAGATCCCCAGCTAGCATAGCATCGCTGGAGTTCTCCAACAGATAGATATCTACCTTTTGGACTCTTTTGCACTTGAGGGGGCTCCAAAAAAAACAGGAACCTCTCTGCATTAGGTGAGCCATTGCTCCCGGCAATCCCTCCATCTCTCTTTCTTCATCACACCAACTCATCCATTCTTCGCTGCAACCTCCTATCACTCCCAACTATTCCTTCCAACCCCTCTCCTATCACTCCCACACCTAATTTCCTCTCCCAATTTTTACGATTCACATCCCAGCTTCCACACTCATAGCACACTCATCTGCCCACATGGCAACACACATCACACACAACAACATTTAATTTTTTTACATTTTTTTGTCCCACATATACAGCTCTCGCACCTATCGTGTTGTTATGGGAAACCACAACTTAAGCACAAATGAAGCCACTGAACAGGCAATCTCTGTGTCCAAAATTGTGAAACACGAGAAGTGGAACAATGCAGCAGACGGGTAAGATGTTTGAATAGTCCAAATATTAAACTCAAAATTGGGCGAACAGCAAAGAAACAATCTAAGATATTGAAAAGTTGACAAGAATAAAAGGGAGGGTGACTAAGACCATGGGTTAGTCTGAAGTATTTGGATGGGTATGATCAGCTTCCATAGAGGGGGCAAGAGAATATATATATATATATATATATATATATATATATACATATATATATATACATACATACCAAAAGAGTTGTGGAAAATCCCCGCCAACTCTATTGGTATGTACTTTACAAGTAACACCAAGCCTCCATAGCAAGCCAGTAACCAACCTCATGCTGATGAGTTGCATTAACAACTAAGTGGTTCACTGGCTTTGCTCCTCTTCCTGAGTTGTGTTTCAAAGCTGTAGTATACAGCAGACACATACTCCAAAGAATCCATGTATAAAGTGGAATTGTGAGGCAAAAATGTGGTTCTTTGTTGAGCTAATTTGCATACGCCTACCCAGAATCCCCTGCAGTAGTGAGAGCACTGTTAAAGTGAGATTTTTATGGGAAAAGCAAGTCTTATGGCTTGACTGGTGTTTGTATTTTTGTTTAGCAATGTATTAACTATATATCTATTTATAAGTTCCATAGCGCTGTACAGACACGTAATTGTAACCAGACAAATGGACGCACAGGAACAGAGGGCTTTAGGGCCCCGCTCAATGAGCTTACATGCTAGAGGAAGTGGGGTATAATGACACAAAAGGTATAAGTAGGGGTATTGAAACAGATTGCTAGAAAAGTATTCACTGAGAACTTTGGTTATTTTTCACAGTTGCGGGAGAGGAGTCATGGGGGGGTATGAAAATCCGCTAACAATTTAAATTATATGCTTTCCTGGAGAAGTGTGTTTTCAAAGATTTTTTGAAGGAGTGGAGACTGGGTGAAAGTCTAACGGAGATAGGAAGGGAGTTCCACAGAAAAGGTGCAGTCCTGGTGAAGTCTTGGGGCGAGCATCAAATGTGGGAGTATGGACAGAGGATAGACATAGGTCTTTGGCAGAGCACAGGGGCCTCGACAGGACATACTTGTGTATTAGGGAGGATAGGTAGGTTGGAGCAGCATTATGTACGGACTTGTAAGCAAACACCAGAATCTTCAATTGAGCCCTATATCTAACTGCAAGCCAATGTAGAGACTGACAGAGGGGGGAGGCGTGGGAGGTTCGGGCGGACAGGAAAATGAGCCTCACCGCTGCATTCATTATAGAGTGGTAAGACCACTGAGAAGGGGATTGCAGTGGACAATGCAAGAAAGAACAATGGCATGGACACGCATATTAGTTGCGTCTGGTGTAAAATAGGGGCGGATGTGTGCTATGTTTCTGAGATTGAAGCGGCGCATCTTGGTGAATAAAAATGCTTTATGTGAGCTCCACATATCTTGATTGAAAATAGTGATTTTCTGGTGGGACTCTCACCTCAAGGTATACCAAATCGAATACTCACCTGTTCCAGTGTGTCGGGGAGCTCTAGTGAGCAAGTTTGAAACCTCAGTTTACAACCTGTGTTCAGGAATTGCTGTGCGGCCTACGCACCTTAGGTGCTCCGTGGAAGGGAGAGGTGACCAATCTCCCGGGCTGGAACTGCCGGCGCTAGCAACAACTGCAGCTACTGCCCCCCCGTGGACCGACTATGGATATCCCGGTCCCCACTAGGCTCAGCTACTTCAAGTCCAGCTGCAAAGAGGTTCATTATCCTGACACAGCAAGCACACGTGGTATAGTTAAGATGGCCACCACATCGACCCCTTGCTCGAATGGGAACTCAGGTTTCTGGCAGCATTTGATGCAGTGTGCACGGCCTTCTGGAAGTGGATAGAATCCCGTCATGAACACCAATTACTCACCTCGCCCGTGAATGCTGTGATTCCCGGTGGCGTCTCGGCGACCCGCTCGTCTTCTTGGCCATTAGCCAAGATGGACAGTGTACCCTTAAGCCATCCACTGCCTCATGAGACAACTTGCAAAATGGAAGTCCCTCAGGATATCGACCCTACCGCAGGAACTGAGGGGTCTCCGGGTCTCCAAACATCGGCTCCTAAGCAGGCCAGGCTTTGTGAAGCGGAGAAGTAGGAGCAAACCCGTCTTACTCATCATGGCCTGGGAGACAACCCAAAGTGGATGAGTGGCAGTGAAAGCACCATAAGGCAATATACAGCACAAAGTGTAGCAACTGAAGTGAGTCTGTGGCATTGGCTAAAGCATGGACGATAACTACAATTCAGAATTAATGTTTTAGCCCCCCCTTTTTTCTTGTCTACTTTTTAATATCTTAGATGCAATAAAAGTTAGGGTCTCCTTTTGTTTCTTTATCGTTCTTCCTCCCTGGGACCCTCCTTCTGTTTTGGAGGGACCCTGCTCTTGTTTTATATAGTTGAAAAAGGAAGGGTTACCCCCTATTAAAGGGAGTATGGAAGCAGGTGACCTTGTGCCAACCATCCACCTCCTTTTTTCCGGGCTGTGGGACGTTTTCCCCATTCGATTTTCTTTCTACTTCTCAGTTTAAAACACAAAGTTGCACATATTACAAAACTAACAACACAGCAAATGGGTGAGTTTTGGAATAATCAAATGAAAATGGAAGTCTATAAATTGTCCCACAAATGCATTTAAAAATAATGAAAAAGAAACATGGCCATTGTGATAAAATTATCTGATACTGAACTGAAAACAAATATTTTTGTAGATTTTGCAGAACATATATACTCAAAATTGTACTTGAAAATTGCCTGTGTTATATATTTACATTTAGAGTATTGCCACTGTCAGTGTACAGTATATGACATGAAATAAGGTATATAGGGCAAACAGAGTTGAAATGATATCTTGATTCAACATTAAAGTAGGGGGTTATCTGAAATAGGGAGGGGGCTGGGTAGCATTCCAGGGACAGGGGGACATCATGATCCTAGGGGTAGGGGGTATGTGAAATCGGGGACTTGGACAATTCAGGGGTAATGGGCTACAAAAAGATGGTAGGAGACCGCGCCCCAGAAATATATAAGAAATATATATAAATATATACATACACAATTCTTTTGATAGTTGTACATACAGTTGACCTAAAAAAAAAATACAAAAATTATACAATAGTGCAGTACAGTATAGTTGGTGAAGAGTGGTGAGATAATCTTATGTGATAGCACTCCCATTTGTTAGAGCTAATTTAGAGCTCAGCTGTAATACGCGTGGACGGAATAATCCCCATCTAAGGAAGTGTGTAGATGTAGACGTCTCTGATGTCTCAAATAGGATGCAGTATGCAGGACATATATATATATATAAAAATGGGCTGTCTGAGGGACAATTCTAGTATAAGGAAGCATCTGATATCTTGTCTAATATGGTAGTGGGGTATTCTAGGGGTAATAGGCTGTCTAGATGGAGGGTGAAATGGGGGGCATCATGTCAGTGTCTTGAGGTATCCAGGTCAGATCATTCTAGGCAAATGGTAGTGGATAGCTAGGGGGTTGTTATGTAAGTTTGGGAGAACAATGTTAGTGGGGGTCACTCTGGAGATATTGGAGTGTTTGGTTAGATGCTGAGGGTTGTAGAGGCACTCTAATGGGGATATTGTGAATGGCAGTGCATTGGTTGTTGGTAAGATTGCACTCATAGTATGAGGCAGTGATCAGGCAGTGATGCACCCAGTAAAGGCATTGAGCTAATTGATATGAGGCCTTTTGTTTGGATAAGTACATATGTGCAGTGGGTTTCTGAATATTTTGATATAGATGTTGGGGAGGACTATCTGCAGACTTGGGAATTTGTAAGTAAATAATTAAATGTTCGCAGTTCAGCTTATGTTTTACTGTGGTTTGGATAAATGTAATTTATATACAGTTTCAGGGTATTATTTCCTGTTAGAATTATAATATAAGATAGTGACTGTGGGATCCTGGAAGGCAGTGGAAGATGACTTTTTTTCTGGATGGGAAAATATGCTGAGGGAAAGTAAGTTGGGTGGGTTACTGCAGAATAGCTGCTCACCAGAGGGCTTGGCTAAGTTAGTTTGCAGTGTGGGGTCTGTTTAAGGTTGTGGAACCATTTTGTTGACATCCTGGGGTGTGAATTTGGAAATACAATGACTTGAGTGGAGTCAAACCTGATAGGGGATAATGGCAGAGAGATTCCATTGACGCAATATCCAGCGCTCCTCTCTTGGCGGTCAATTCATGTATAGAAACATAGAATGTGACGGCAGATAAGAACAATTTGGACCATCTAGTCTGCCCAAAATTTCAAAATACTTTTAATTAGCCTTATCTTATAGTTAGGATGGCGTTATGCCTATCCCACGCATGCTTGAACTCCTTTACTGTGTTAACCTCTACCACTTCAGCTGGAAGGCTATTCCATTCATCCACTACCCTCTCAGTAAAGTAATACTTCCTGATATTATTTTTAAACTTTTGCCCCTCTAATTTAAGACTATGTCCTCTTGTTGTGGTAGTTTTTCTTCTTTTAAATATGGTCTCCTCCTTTACTGTGTTGATTCCCTTTATGTACTTAAATGTTTCTATCATATCCCCCCCGTCTCGTCTTTCCTCCAAGCTATACATATTAAGATCCTTTAACCTTTCCTGGTAAGTTTTATCCTGCAATCCATGAACCAGTTTAGTAGCCCTTCTCTGAACTCTCTCTAAAGTATCAATATCCTTCTGGAGATACGGTCTCCAGTACTGCGTACAATAATCCAAGTGAGGTCTCACCAGTGTTCTGTACAATGGCATGAGTACTTCCCTCTTTTTACTGCTAATACCTCTTCCTATACAACCAAGCATTCTACTAGCATTTCCTGCTGCTCTATTACATTGTCTGCCTACCTTTAAGAGCTTATAATCACCCCTAAATCCCTTTCCTCAGATGTTCAGGTTAGGACTCTATCAAATATTCTGTACTCTGCCCTTGGGTTTTTACCTCCAAGATGTATTATCTTGCACTTATCCACATTAAATGTCAGTTGCCACAACTCTGACCATTTTTCTAGTTTACCTAAATCATTTGCCCTTTGGTGCCTCCCTCCTGGAACATCAACCCTGTTACATATCTTAGTATCATCAGCAAAAAGACATACCTTACAATCAAGACCTTCTGCAATATCACTAATAAAAATATTAAAGAGAATGGGTCCAATTACAGATCCCTGAGGTACCCCACTGGTGACAAGCCCAAGCTTTGAATATACTCCATTGACTACAACCCTCTGTTGCCTGTCACTCAGTCACTGCCTTACCCATTCAACAATATTGGAATCCAAACTTAAAGATTGCAGTTTATTGATAAGCCTTCTATGTGCAACAGTGTCAAAAGCCTTACTGAAATCTTGGTAAGCAATGTCTACTGCACCACCCTGATCTATTATTTTAGTTACCCAATCAAAAAAATCAATAAGATTAGTTTGGCATGATCTCCCTGAAGTAAACCCATTGTCACGACATTGATCCCTACACGCAGAGTGTAATTAGAAAGTGACGTCTACCGGACCTTAGAATGGCCGGACTCAAAATGCCAAAGAGTGGTCGAAGGAATAGCCAAGAGTCAAGGGAGTACGGAAAGCAGGCACATGAGAATAACCAAGCCAAAATCAGGAAACCAGAGAGTAGAATAGTCAGAGGAAAAATCAAAAGTCAAATACCAGTAAATACAAATAAATGTTCTCAAGAGCACTAAAGGGAACTAGCAAGAACAACAATAGGGCGCTGAACAATTGAAAAGGGTGCCTTTTTATAGTGTGGTTCCTTTAGCTTTAAATCCATGCCCCCAAAAGGTCCGGGGGTGTGGTAATGTCCGAGTACCCGTGGGAAAATTATGCTGACGTCGGCGTGCATGCACCGCGTCATAAGAAGAGGCGTATCTGGAGCGTCCAGTGTCCGAGAAACTGTGCCGCCTCCCGGAAGCAAGAAGAGAGGACACCGCGCTGCGCGGGTCCGGAGAGAAAAGGTAAGGTATCGTTACACCCATGTTGTCTCTGATCTTGAAATCCATGTGTTTTTAGATGTTCAACAATCCTATCCTTTAACATGGTTTCCATTACTTTCCCCACTACTGAAGTAAGGCTTACTGGCATATAGTTGCCCGACTCCTCCCTACTACCTTTCTTGTGAATGGGCACCACATTCGCTAACTTCCAATCTTCTGGGACTACTCCTGTTAACAATGATTGGTTAAATAAATCTGTTAATGGTTTTGTTAGTACACCACTAAGCTCTTTTAATAACTTTGGGTGTATTTCATCAGGTCCCATTGACTTATTTGTCTTTACTTTTGACAGTTGAAATAGAACATCTTCCTCTGTAAACTCACATGTAATAAATGACTCATTTGTCCTTTTTTACTAACTGAGGTCCCTCTCCTTCATTTTCATCCGTAAATACCGAACAAAAATATTAATTGAGGCAGTCAGCTAGACCTTTATCCTCTTCTACATACCTTCCTTCTTTTGTTTTTAATCTAACTAATCCTTGTTTTACTTTCCTTTTCTCATTTATGTATCTAAAAAATGTTTTGTCGCCTTTTTTTACTGACTGTGCTATTTTCTCTTCTGTGTGAGATTTGGAAGCTCTTATAACTTGCTTAGCCTCTTTCTGTCTAATCTTATAGATCATTCAGTCTTCATCACTCTGTTTTTTTTATAATTACTAAATGCTAACTTTTATTTTTTTTACTATTTTGGCCACATCTGCGGAGTACCACAGTGGTTTCTTGAATTTTTTGCTTTTACTGACAAGCCGAATGCAATTTTTTGTTGCCTTCAGCAGTGCAACTTTTAAATAATCCAATTTCTCTTGGACTCCATTTAAATTGCTCCAGTCTGATAATGACTCCTTTACACATATTCTAATTTTAGAAAAGTCTGTTTTTTTAAAGTCTAAAACTTTTGTTTTTGTGTGGTGTGACTCAGTCACTGTTCTTATATTAAACCACACTGACTGATGATCACTGGATCCTAAATTTTCACCTACAGTAATATCTGATATCAAATCTCCATTTGTTAACACTAAATCTAGAATGGCCTCATTACGAGTTGGCTCCTCAATGACTTGTTTTAGAGACAATCCCAGTAGGGAGTTTAGAATATGTGTGCTCCTGGCACAAGCAGCTATTTTGGTTTTCCAATTCACATCAGGAAGATTAAAGTCACCCATGATGATAACTTCCCCTTCATTGTCATTTTAGTTATTTCCTCAACTAGTAGATTATCTAACTCTTCTATTTGTCCTGGGGGCCTATAAATCACACCTACACAAGTTACCTAGTGATTACCAAATTCTAACATAACCAAAATGGACTCTATGTTCTCCTCACTAACTGCGAGCATTTGTAGACATGACTCTAAGCTTATCATTTTTTAACACACTTGCTACAGGCACCTCCTGTCCTTGTTTTGGGGGGCAATTGGATTAATGTTTTATCACCCTTTTGCCACCCCCCCTCCTAGTTTCAATACATCCTAGCAAAACCTCTGAACTGCTCACTGAGAACATTTGTTCCCTTTTGAGAAAGATGCGAACCATCTTTTTTGTATAGTTTATTTCCATTCCAAACAGAGCTACCATGAGAGATAAAGCCAAATCCTTGCTCCCGACACCATGCACCAAGCCACAAGTTAAAGTCCCTAATACACATCATTTTGAGTGTTATGCACAGGCAGAACTTCAAAGAATAACAGTGTGGAAGGAACCTGCCGTAGATCATTGGCAAAAACACTAAAACTTCCTTAACCTCAGAAACCTCAATGCAAGCAAAGTAATTTGTCCCTAGATGGACAAGTACATCCAATTCCCCTTCCTGCTTTGCTTGCTTAACAATATTACAAATACGTCTCCTGTCTCTGTGAGCAGTAGCTCCGGGAAGACATCTCACAAGACCACCATTGTCCATCTCCACACGTCTTATGATGGAATCCCCCAACAACAACTGCTTTCTATTATGCCTCACCATAGTCTCCAAGCCTGTCTCCACAACACCACTACCCTCAGTGCATGAGTCTGTCTCCACAACACCACTACCCTTAGTGCCTGAGCCTGTCTACACAACACCACTACCCTCAGTGCCTGAGCCTTTCTCCACAACACCACTACCCTCAGTGCCTGAGCCTGTCTCCATAACACCACTACACTTGGTGCCTGAGCCTTTCTCCACAACACCACTACCCTCAGTACCTGAGCCTGTCTCCACAACACCACTACCCTCAGTGCCTGAGCCTTTCTCCACAACACCACTACCATCAGTGCCTGAGCCTGTCTCCATAACACCACTACACCTGGTGCCTGAGAATGTCTCCATAACACCATTACACTCTGAAAGTGCAGAAAATGAATTGTGTAGAGCAACAGACTGTGCAATATGCCTTTTATCCACAACTCTAAGTCTACCGGATCCTACAGTAATACATCTGCCATTCCTAGTATGTCTCTGTGGCAGTGGCTTTGCAGCAGTTCCAGCCTGAGTTTGTTTACCGGATAATTTACAAATCTCAGACTTCAAAAATACAATCTCCTGCTGCAATATAGAGAATTGTCTACAGATTAGACAGCATCCAAATCTCCAAAAAGTGGAACGTGAAACAAATGCATAACAACTAGTACACTGAACTAAGTCTGCCATTTCAATGAGGTGAATAATAAATATAGTGGCGAGCACCAGCTCGGGAGCATTCCGCAGACTGTATGAAAGGAGTGTGGATATGAATCACGTCATGTTCCTGCTCCCTATATTATTCACAAAGTGGCTGGCGCAGTGGCGTGGTGTGTATTGTGGGGGAGTGGCAAATTCAGGAATCGCCCCGGACGGCAAAATCTCTAGCTACGCCACTGGTTCGTTTAATATTTCCGAACTTAAATAATCATATAAAGAGGTCTGAAAGCACAGACAAAAAAGTTTGATGAACGAGCGGCTTGTTGGCATAGCGGCATTCTATTCAAGCGTTCTTCTGGGGGGAGAGCATTCACCCTCAGCTTATGCAGACCTATAGTCCCAGGTAACAGAGGACTGAGGCGGTAACACTGTCTATATTTGTGCTATGCTGTGGTCCTTGGACACAAGCATATATATTTTAATGTAAGAGTTCCTAGTGGGGGGGCGGGTGCTTAAATAAAACAGTGTTACACTATTATGGATCCTCTTGTACTTTTTAAGGTACTTGGAAACCGTTGCCATTTATTGTTCCCATTGTAAAGCGCTGCGGAATTTGACGGCGCTCTATAAATATCATAATAATAATAATAATAATTGAACAAGGATACGTTGTTACACTGGATTTTGACTGTAGGATATTACAGACTGCCCCTGCTTCAGAATACCCTAGAACTCTTTATTATCTTATTTTTAAATTAGAATTTTGAAGTTTGATGTCAATGTTTTTGTTTGACACTCCTGATAATTTAAATTAGGGGCTAATCTATTAAGCGCTTACACCCATTAGTGAGTTGTAAACTACTGGAATTGTTTTTTTTTTTATGTGTACAGCTGCTTTTTTATGGAATTGCACTACTTTATTGAATTGTATTATTTTTAATATATTTATTCTGTTTCATGTGAAGTAGTATTACTGTTTTTACGCTCTTTCATTGGTTATAAAACATAAATAAAATTGCAAGATTCATTGTCAGATTAAATTGCCATTGTTAGTCAGAAAGGTAAGTATGATGTATTTCAAGTGATATTTACTGATGTCTACTGTATATATAGTACATATTATTTGTTTTATAAAAGTAAAGGGCAGCACTGACCTTAATGGGCACATATCTAAGGAGTCTTAAATATGTCTATAAATATAACCATGTCTATATACACTTGAAAACACTTACATACAATTTCCTAAATAAACCACCAGATTCATACTCTGTTGTTCTTCTTTTTTTCTTTTTTTTCTTACAGAAATGATATTGCAGTCCTTCATCTGGCATCCAGTGCCACTCTGAATCCCTCTGTGCAGGTGGCTACCCTGCCCGCCGATGGAACTGTCCTAGCCAACAATTTCGCCTGTGTTGTTACTGGATGGGGCAGAACTAGCAGTAAGTTGTTTTATGGGAAACACAAAATTTCTTGCCTAGCCCATGACTTGCCACAAAAAAAGAATTAGTAATTGATTGTCAACATATAAGATAATATATAGAAATATATGAGTATTGAATAAAACAAAATGGATCCACTGCTAAGAACCTTGGCAATGTAGTAAATGGTAATAATGTTGCAGGATTTGGTTATGAAATATGCTCAAAATGTTTTTAAAATCATAGAAAGATTCCAGTGAAACCACTAAAGATTTATTTTTTTCTAAACTCGGATTTTCTTTCTTTACTGAAGAAGCAAAACTACCAATGGGGTATTTGTCACAGCAAAAACAGGTTACCAACCTGATACAAAGTTCTAAATGAGAAGAAACCACCATGCAAACAAACAGAATGGTTATTCACAGGTTGCTCTATGCACCATAAACACTTCTGTGATTTGAAGTGATCATGGTGCCTGGAGTCTGTATGTGCAGCATTTCACTTTGAAATGCTGCACAGTGGTGGAACTACCAGCCAACTACAGCCAGTGTGACTGTACTGGGGCCCAGAGTGCTAGGGTGACCCAGCTCAGGGCCAGGAGTGTGTGTCAGTGTTTATCTGTATGTGTGTCAGTGTGTGTATTTGTTTATCTAAAAGGTTTGTCAGTGTGTATATGTATATGTATCGATGTATCTACCGTATTTATCGGCGTATAACACGCACTTTTTCTCCCTGAAAATAGGGGAGAAATCGTGGGTGCGTGTTCTACGCCGGCCCTTTAAATTCTGCAGCCGCCTGAGCGCTCTGTCAAGAGCGGTCAGGCGGCTGCAGTTGGTACTCACCTTCCCTGTAGCGTGGCCGAGCCGCTCTGCTGTCCGCGGTGGCCGGCCGGACTGATAGGTGGCCGGCCGGACTTCGCGCGGAACAGGAGTTTCTGTTTCCTGTACCCGGTCGGACTGACAGGAAGGTGCACACTGAGCGTGCACCTTCCTTTCACTCCGGCCGGCCGGCCACCGCGGACTGCAGAGCGGCTCAGCCATGCTACAGGGGAGGGGGGAGTAAGAAGGGGGGAGTGGGAAGTAAGAGAGGGAGGGAGTAAGAAAGGGGAGGATGGTAAGAAGGGGAGGGACTAAGAAGAGGGAGGGGGGGTAACAAGAGGGTAGAAGGATAAAGAGGTGCATGGCAAGAGAAGGAGAGGAGAAGTAGAATTGGGAGGGAGTAAAAGGGGGTAGGAGAGGTAAAGAGAGGGAAGTAAAAATTAAGAAAAGAGAGAGAGGGAGTAACAAAGTGGGGGAGGAAGTAAGAAGAAAAAGAGGGGGAGTAAGAAAGGGGGGGTAAGAAGGAGGGAGGGGAGGTAGAAGGGGTCAAGAGAGGGGAGGGAGAAAGTAAAGAGGGAGGGTAGAAGGGGGTAGAAAGGGGAGGGGGGGTAGAAGGGGGGTAAGAGAGGGAAGGAAGAAGTAAAAGAAGAGGGGGAGAGGGAGTAAGAAAAGGGAGGGTAAAGAGAAGTTCTTTATTTGAAATTTAAAGAGAGGGACCACTCTCTAGAGCACCCCAGACCACTTCAGCTTTCCCAATAAGTAGGTCACAGGTGCCAGGTCAGATTAACCCTTTTATAAACACTAGCAGTTTCAAGAGAGCATATGTTTAGTAATCCAGCCTCGAGCACTCTAGTGGCTGGCCTCATTGACAGCCGCTGGTACGTCTCTCACTGTGAAAATCACAGTGAGAGCACGCAAGTGTCCATAGGAAAGCATTGTAAATGCTTTCCTATGCGACCGGCTGAATGCGCGCGCGGCTCCTGCCGCGCGTGTGCATTCAGCCGATGACGTCGCGAGCAAGGAGGAGAGGAGGAGTACAGCTCCCCGCCCGGCGCTGGAGAAAGGTAAGTGTTTAACAACTTCCTCTCTCCAGAGCCCGGCGGGAGGGGGTCCCTGAGGGTGTATAACACGCACCTCATTTTAATAAGGAAATTTCAGGGGAAAAAAACTTAAAGGACCACTATAGTGCCAGGAAAACATACTCGTTTTCCTGGCACTATAGTGGTCCTTTAAGTTTTTTTTTCCTGAAATTTCCTTCTTAAAATGAGGTGCGTGTTATACGCTGGTGCGTGTTATACGCCGATAAATACGGTATATGTTTGTCTGTATATCTGCATGTGTGTGTATCTGTGTGTTTGTATATCTGAATGTGTTTCAGTGTGTGTGTGTGTGTGTTTTGTCAGCATATGTGTATATGTGCATACATAAAAAAAAACACTTCTTCAGTATAGCACAAACACTACACATAAAGGCATGCTTGCATTCAAATATCAACACTACATACAAAACACCTCTACATTAACACATAATGTATGTGTTAACATACTCCATGCAACAAATGCTTACATTAAAAAACACAAACACTGCTCAGTGCTAAATACAACCCTGCATGGATGGGGAAATGGTAGAATCTCAACTGGCAATGCATTGTGGAAGTTGTACAATCTTTTGGCCACCCTTTGCAATAGGGTAGGGGACAAACAAATTCTTGCACCAGGGCCCTCTCTCTGCATTTGTTCCGCCATTAACACTCCACATATGCAGTTTAAGCCCTAATGACCCCTTGTCATTGGGGCATCATTAGCCAGCGCAGTACTAGAATTCAGGCTGAATAAAATCAATTCTGTGCACAGTGTGCCATTCTTTCGCTCTCAGTCAGTGAATGGTGAATTGAAATATCCCAAAAAGATATCAAAGAAATACAGAATGGAACTTGATGAACTGCGTTGATAGTGAATATAAATCCCTAACTTTATGATATCCACCTTTGTCTCCTTTCATGAGAAATAGCATTGAGTGCAACATTAACATGTATGTTTCCCACAGCCGATGGATCTTCTCCCTCAGTCCTCCAGCAGGCCACTCTGTCTGTTGTAGCTCACTCAGTCTGCTCCAGCAGCTCTTACTGGGGAAGCACCGTCAAGACCACAATGTTGTGCGCCAAAGGTGACGGTGCCCATGCTTCATGCACTGTAAGATGACTTGATTTTCATTTCCCTATTAACATATAGACCTATGTTGACTAGTAGCTTTATTAAAGGGTATTTATGGCTAATTGACAGTACAGTGTACAGTACTTGATGTTTTTTTCACAGTAACTGTTAGTAAATTTACACTTCTAATTTACAACTACGCCAATTTGGTGACTAAACTGCTACTGGGTGGGTATTTTTTTTTTTTCGGAACTAGTTTTCACTATAATATGGATATTCACACATGAGCTATGTTCCTGTATTAGAAGTCATGGAATCACAGTTTATCTGGGCTTTGAGTTCTACAGGGCTCAGTTACTATTTATAGCTGGGATCTTAGGGAGTGAACAGGATATGGGTGATAATCTCTTCCCAGTGAACTTTATTTCAGACATTTGTTGTTTGTAATGTTCTATGTGTATAGTTGTTTCTCTGACTTGCGCTTATTATTTGATTGTGTGTATTATTTCATGATAATTATGCTAAACGAGTACAGATTTATTTTATTTTTTTATTTTTTATTTTTTTAATTCTTTTTTATTATCAAATTTATCACCATAATTACATTATACAAAAAAGTATTTAAAAACATTCAAATTCATACACATAAACACAAAGACAAAAATGGCAACAACAAAAAAAGAGAAAAATAAAACCACCCCCCCACAAGAGTTCTACAGACTTCCAACTTCTCTATCTCATTTCAAATGATATTAATATTACATTTGTAGTAATTTTTTTTCCCAATTTTCCCATAGGCTCAAATTATCATTCAGAAGCTTGCAATGATCCTTCTCCATTTTAAGTTGGTAAACCAACTGTATTGTTATTAATTTGATGTTAAAAGGGGTATCTCCCTTCCAATTTCTTGTTATTATTATTTTACAGGCCATTAAACAATGAATAATTAGGAATTGATTTATTTTATTTAATTTTGGCCATTGGTAGTGTAATAGCATTATTTCAGGATTTAGAAATATTTTAACACCGCACAGTGTATGGATGATAAATTGAGCCCACTGCCATACAACAATCACTTGTTTACATGACCACCACATGTGGATATAATTTCCTTTTTCCTCTCTACATTTCCAACACTTTATATCCATAGATGTATCAAATTTAGCTATTTTCATTGGCGTCATATACCATTGATTAGCCAACTTGAAATGTGTTTCTATCAATACAAAGGAGTGGACATATTTATTGATTTTTTGTAGGGTAGATAACCATTCAGTTAATTCTATATTTATTTTTAATTCAGTATTCCATTTTTTAATAACACTGGGAAGGACAGAATCATCCATTGGGTCCAACATTCTAACACATCTAGAGAACAGCTGCTTTGTTTTATTCTGGTATAAGATTGATTTTAATATATCATACATCTTACCCTCTTTTACTAACTCAACTTTCTCCAAATAATGTTTTACTCTAAAATAGGTATATACATCTTTAGCAGAGATCTTAAACTCCTCTACCAACGTTTTATAAGGTTTGATTTTACCCTCTTTGGTCAGATCTTTTAAAGTATTTATTCCTTTTTCTTTCCATAGTTTTAAGGAAATACTCTCCATGTTTAGTTCTATTATATCTAAATTTTGAAAATCAAATATTTTATTTACCAAATCAATTTTTTTCCTTATTTTTTGCCATATTGGAGTGATCTGTCCTAAAATGTATGATCTGGATAGATTGCATTTTTTTGTATTCCAGACTAACTCTAGGGTATCTCTTAATTGGCTAGATTCTAATTCTGACCACCACCATACTTCCTCTTTATTTTGTTTTATCTGACTAGCCATGACATGCGTAATAATCCCTGCTTCATAATATTTTCTTATATTTGGATATCCTAAGCCTCCCTTCTTTATTCCTCTTGCTAGTACTCCATTTTTAATTCTGGGTTTTTTCCCTCGCCATACAAAATTAGAAAAGGCCTTGTTGATCATTGTCAGCCATGCATTCGGGATTTCTAATGGGAGCATTCTAAACATATAGATCCATTTTGGCAAAACGTATGATTTCAGAATATTTATTCCTCCTCCCCAAGATACTTCTAATTTTCTCCATTCTTTCAAATTCTTATTAGTTTCTTTTAGGAGATCCATAAAGTTTATTCGCAAAGTGCTTTCTACATTTCTGCAAATTTTAATTCCTAGATATAAAAACGTTTTAGCTTTAATAAAGCCATATGTATCTTGATAGGAATCTATTTCTTGATTTGACATATTGATATATATAGCAATTGATTTTGTTTTATTTAATTTGTAATTTGATACTGCACTGTATATCTCAATTTCTGACATTGCATTTGATATTGATGTTGACGAATTGCTTAAAAATAGAATAGTATCATCAGCATAGAGAGATATTTTCAGTTCTTTCTGTTTTGCTATGAATCCCTTAATATTTTCGTTGTTTCTAATTCTGTTAGCTAGAACCTCTAGTGTTAATATAAACAATAAAGGGGACAGAGGACAGCCTTGTCTGGTCCCATTGTTCAATTTGAACCAGTCTGAGCATATGCCAGGGCCAATTGTTCTCGCCTTTGGATCTTTATATAAAGCTAAAATTGCATTAAGCAACCATCCCTGTATGCCTAGTTCTTCTAAGGTAAACTTCATAAAGTCCCAGCTGACCCTGTCAAAGGCTTTTTCAGCGTCTAAAGACAGGATCAGCATGGGACTTTCTTTTCGTTGTGATATATCTAGTGCATCAATCAAGCGTCTAATATTATTGCTTGACATTCTGTCTGGAACAAAACCTGTTTGATCAGGATGGATTAGCTGTTTCATAACTTCTTTTAATCTGCTAGCTATAATAGAAGAAAATATCTTAATATCTACATTTATTAGTGATATTGGGCGATAGCTCTGAACTTTAGTTGGATCTTTCCCTGGTTTCAATATAGGTAGAATGTTTGCTTTAAGCATTTCATCTGGGAATCTGCCCTTTTTAACTGCAGTATTAAAAGTATTTTTTAGGTGGCCTATCAAATGAAGTTTCATTGTTTTGTAGAATTTATTTCCAAAACCGTCCGGACCTGGCGTTTTATGAGTTTCTAATCTATCTATTGTTATATTGATCTCTTCTTCCGTGATCTCTTTATTTAGGTTATTTACTTGTGTTTCTGTTATTTTATTCAATTTTGCTGATTTAATATATTTTTTTATTATTTCTGAAGGAGTAGTTACTGAAAGACTATATAAGTTGGCATAATACTCATTAAATGCTTTCCCTATCTGTTCTGGGAGAAGGGAGATGGTATCATTAGTTATTATTTTATCAACCTTATTGGTTGTATTTCTTTTTTTCAGCATATTGGACATTATTTTATCAGCTCTATTAGATTTATGATAATATTTAATTTTAAGTTTATGCATATTTGTTCTGATTTTTTCGTAAGTTTTTTCCTGTATCTCAGATTTAATATTCTCTATTTTTAACTGATTGTCCTTGGTTGGGTTTGCATTGTTTTTCTTATTTAAATTATATAGTTCAATGTAAAGATCTTGTACGTTTGCGCCTTTTTTTTTTTTCTTTAATTTATTGAGCATTATACAATGTCCCCTTATTACTGCTTTAAATGAGCACCATAAAGTATCATTCTCCACTTGTCCATTATTATTTTCTTCAAAATAACAAATGGTCATTTTATCTATATAGTCTTTATATTCCTTATTTAATAATAATGATTCATCTAACCTCCAGGTTATATTCTTACTGCTCTTTAATCTATTACTGTTTAGTTCCAGGCACACACTATCATGGTCTGACCATATTACTGGTTTGATTTCTATTTTAAATGTTCTATCTATTCATTTTAAATCTCCAAATATAAGATCTATTCGCGAGTACGAATTATGGGGCCAGGAGTAAAACATAAATTCTTTCACTGCAGGATTGTTAAGTCTCCATATGTCAAATAGACCTTCTCTTTTCATCAAGTTATTAAAAGTCCTTGCGTTTTTAGAACTTGTTTGTCCCAAATAGTTTGTTTTTCAGAGAACTTGTCTAATATGGGGTCTTGTATACTATTAAAGTCCCCTGCATATATCTTTATTCCTACTCCTACTTTCTCAACTTTATTTAATACTTTTCTCAATAGGCATATGGGGTTTTTGTTGGGCAGATAAACATTAATTAGAGTGAAGAGTTCATCATTAATTGTGACTAATAGGATGATAAATCTCCCCTCTAAGTCTATTTCCATAAATTTTATCTTTATTTTTAAATCTTTTGGAAAAAATATTGCAACTCCTCCCTTTTTCCCCTCCTCTCTAGAGGAACAAATTTTTAAAGGAAAAGATCTGCTGGTCCATCTTTTTTCATCCTGTTTACGCCAGTGTGTCTCTTGGACCATAGCGATTTTTTAGATACTCTTGGAAAGCTTGTCTTTTTTGAGGGATATTTAAACCTTTAATATTTAACGTTATTAATTTAACCATTATCGTATATTGTTTTTTTGGATAGTCTAGTGAGCTCTCGAGAAACAATAAAAAAAATTCACATTACAATACATACATTAAACAACTTCAAGTACACTTGGTATTTGAAGTATATTTCCAATCATTTCGAAGACTCTAAAAAGAGTCAAAGAACACTTTCCTTGGTGGGTCTTAATGCCCACTTTGAACCTTTTTCAGGTTACAGCAAGGGAGGCTATATCTCGAACAGGGAGGAACCAAGTCTGAATTTTTCTTTATCTTTCCCTACTCCCTCTTTCTCTTCTACTCTATGAAGTTTATACTTCTACCCTTCTCTCCTCTTATTCCTCTAAGACGAATAGAAGAAGAAGAAAAAAGGGAGCATGACAAAGGCTTTTCAGCCGAAACGTTGGGGGTTTTTTGATTGACTCTGTCCCTACTTCTCACTGAATTTGGTATGGTTTGCTGCATTTTTTTATATGTCTGGGTTTTCATTATACTAGTATTATAGTGGACTGTTTGCATGATATTTCTTTCATTCATTTATTACGCATTGAGCGTTTATATTTGCCTATATCATTGCTTTTCTGGTAAATGTTTTTGAATAGCATGACTTTGTACCTCTGTGGATAATATTTAAAGAGACAGTCCTATAGTATATACCCATTTAATAAAGATTTTTTCATATATATAAAGATTTATGGTTGTGCTCCTTACTCTATTCACAATCTTTAGGCTTAGTACAGATTTATTTTTAATATTATTCTAATATGTACCAAGATTACAAACATCTTAATATTAAAGGGACACTCCAGGCACCCAGACTACTTCTGCCCATTGAAGTGGTCTGGGTGCCAACTCCCACTACCCTTAACCCTGCCACTGTAATTATTGCAGTTTTTTATAAACTGCAATAATTACCTTGCAGGGTTAACTCCACCTCTAGTGACTGTCTACTAGACTGCCACTAGAGGGCACTTCCTGATTCATAGCAAAGATTTTCTTTGCTAGAGTGTCGCTAGACGTCCTCACACTGTGTGAGGACCTCCAGCGTTGCTCAATTCCCCATAGGAAAGCATTGAAAATCTTTTTCAATGCTTTCCTATGGAGATCTCTAATGCGCATGTGCGGCATTGCCGCGCATGCGCATTAGGTTTCCTCAGCCGGCGGGAGGGATCAGTCTCGCCCACCGGCTGACGTGATTACTAGGAGGAGCGACGCCGACCCGAAAAAACCCCCATCGAGGGACATCGACAGGGTCTCAGGTAAGTGACCTGAAGGGGTTTTCACCCCTTCAGCCACCTGGGATGTGAGGTGGGAGGGAGAGGGTACCTGCAGTGCCAGGAAAACGGATTGTTTTCCTGGCACTGGAGTTTTCCTTTAAATATATCTAAGTATTACTGATCATCGTGATTCCCCACCATTCTTTAAGTTTAAAAACAATGATTAATTGTTATTTTGTATTTATCTAGGGAGATTCTGGTGGACCTCTTAACTGTCTCGTAAATGGAGTCTACCAAGTCCATGGTATAACCAGTTTTGTTTCCTCCCTTGGTTGCAACACCAAACGCAAACCTAACATCTACACCAGTGTATCCGCTTACATCTCCTGGATCAATGCTGTGAGTAATTTTACATACATTAAGACTCCCTTCTTCTACTTCTTCATTAGATCTATCACTGTGTCTCCTAAATACATTTACCTACTGCTGTACATAGTTACTGTACATTACTAATCTATCTTTCTGAATCCAGTAGCATTCATTATTGAAGATATCAGCAATACATAAACTTATTTTACTCTGACAATGTTATATTTGTCTTTTTTTTCAGAATGTCTAAACCATCGGAAAAATTTCCAGGAAACATGCAAAAACACACGTTGCTTAATTATGAATATTAATCTTTTCATTTTCACATACAATAATTAATAATAATTTGCAATATTAATTAACTAATTAATTTAATTTCAATTTACTACAAAACTTACTGCAAGCAACAGGCTATAAAATGATAGCAGTAATAATGAATTACAGTACAATGCAAAACTCCAACATATAATTTACAAAGGCCCCAAGTCATTGACAGGTGCTAGGGAGCCAGAGCTGATAAGTCTACATCATGGGCAGTCAAGAGAGAGAGCCTGAATCTCTATTACCTCTGCTTTTTATTCATAGTGGGATGCTTTCTGGGAAGTAACTTCCCTAGAGTAGTCTGGCCTGTGATGTCACTGCCAGAAGCACATGGCATAAGGAAACCATATAGTGGAAATTAATCCTACATACCTTATTATGCTTTATTGATGTCATAAATCATTATTTAAATTCATTACAACACCAATGTTGTGTATTAAAAAAAATATGATTCTCTTTCTGTAACTAACATTCTAATAAAAATTGCTTTCATCATTTCAGGCTTTATGTGCTCTATATAATGAACATTGAGTAAATATGTTTTTGAAAATGTCATTTGTGTGCCTCTTAAGCTAAGCCATTTTTTTCTAAATCTAAATCTAGATGACTTTAATGAGAAATGTAATTGCAATCTATCTTTTAAGGGGAAATGGATGGATTGCACTTATGTACAGTGAAGCACAATTATTATAAAAAAAATAAAAAATGATACAATAGCATAAGTAAATACAGGATTTAGAATTTTCATCATCTGATCTATTAATTAATGTAGCAGGCCCTAGGTAACCCAGCTGGTTACCCCCACCATTAATGTATTAGGATACCCATTTCCCACAGTAACTGGATGACACACAATTCCAGGGGTATAACGTTTGCCAATCTTTATTAGGACACCCAGCTTTTTATACACAGAACCCCGCAGGGGGTCTCCATCCAACACAACACAATCCCAGGCAGGAGGGGGCTGGGTTACAGTTAACCATCTCCGGCTCTGGGAGATACCAATAGTACACAGGGACACACATGAAAACACATTACATACAGGGGGGTGAACTTTGGAGCCTGGCACCCTGGAAGGGAAGGGGTTACAGAGTTGGAACTCATTTTGTCAAATAGCCCCGAGTCCCATCTGGGATCCCTGCAAAAAGCAGGGTGATTGGATGTACAGAGCCCGATATATCAGCATCCAATCTCTGGGTCTTGAGGCTCTGTACATCCCCGAAATTCGTTCGATGGTGTTGCTTGGTTTAGTCTGGCAAATTCAAACTTCGCGCCCAAACCAAGCAACAATCAATCAGCTGAAAGGGCATGAACCAAATCGGGCCAATCAGCACACGGGGAGGGAAGGAAGGAGTTTTGCCGCCATATCCGAAGAACGGGAACCTGTTTTAATGGGCGCTCCTACTCTGATTGGTTGCCGGCACCTCACAGCGATCAATCAGCGCTCCCTCTTTCCGACCGACCAGGAGAATGGCGCAAACCCAGTTTAAATGGGCGCTCCTTCTCCCAATGGTCGGCAGGGACTACTACACGGCCATCGGGACCCTGCGGCCGTGACACCGACTCACAGCCCCAGGGATTCCCTGCTGGCGCGTGTCCCTTTCTCCAATGGATATCCCCACGCACCCACCAGAGAGAGCACTTTCCTGGGCAGTCACAAGCCTAGCCTCGTTGCTCGCAGGTAGGGGAAATCAGTGATCATAGCTCCGTTGGGGAGCGGGTAAGACAATCCCTGACACGGGAATCGAAGACTGTGCACGCTGGTAGGGGATGCAAATGCCTCCCCTGGTGGGCGTTCGGTAATACGAACGGGTGGCCACCCAGGGGAAGTGCCCGCCGCCTGTTTCTCTTGCGGTCTGCGGTTTTTACACCTCATTGGCGAGGTGTGAACATTCTAACCACACACTTTAAATTAAGTATCGAGGTGGTCCGGCACAAGGGGTTCCATGCGCCGGAACACCCCCGCGTGGTTGAAACACGAGGTCTGCGGTTTTCACAAATCACTAGCGAGGTGTGAACATTCCAACTAAACATTCTAAATAGGGTATCGGGGTGGTACGGCGCACAGGGCTCCGTGCACCGGAGCACCCCTGTGTGGTTGAAAAGAAATTTGCATGATTTAGTGTAACAATTACAAAAATGGTAAAACTACAAAGAGGAAACACACATTCCAGGGGAGCACATCCACAAATAGGAAAAGGCAATTCATGGTTAGGCAGCGGTCCTGCTACAATGAAGATGCAATTTTTGCACACCTCTACACATTTGCTTGGATTGCCCTAAAATTACTGGATACTGGTTCTCTAGCATACGCACAAATTACTGAAACTCCCTTGATCATAAGCCAGAGGAGGGCACTTTCAAATCTCACTCTTAATCCACTTAAAAATTTAAACACACAGTTTTACCTTACTTGCTCCTGCACGGGCAGTCCATGACATTGTGGTACTTGGGAAACAGTGCTTCACTTCCACTGTCTACCAAAATCCCACCTTCTGAAGCCTTTACATCCTCTCCTCTAAATATCCCCATGTCCCCCATTGTATATTCCCATATCCTCATTAAATCTCCCAATGTTCCCCAGTGTATCTCCTCATATTTTCATTATATGTTCCCATGTCCACCAATGTATCTCCCCATATCTTCACTAAATCTCCCCATGTTCCCCAGTGTAGTTCCCTATATCCTCATTAAATGTCCCAATGTCACCAGTGTATCTCCCCATATCCAGATTAAATCTCCCTATGTTCCCCAGTGTATTTCCCCATATCCTCATTAAATGTCCCCAGTGTATTTCCCCATATCCTCAATATATATCCTTATGTCCCCAGTGTAATTCCCCATATCCTCATTAACATCCAGCATCAGTTAGGTGACCTGGAGTTCATTAGAATCCAGGAAATGCCTCTAGTAGCTGTCTGACTGACAGCCACTAGAGGCAGTCTTGGTCCTGCGAGGTAATCATTGCAGTTTCTCTCAAATGGAACTGAAGTGGTCTGGGTTCCTATAATGTCTCTTTCATACTTACCATCTCCCTCCTGAGTTCCTAAATGGCAAATAATGAATAATAAAAGAACTATTTTGCTGTGAAAAAAATTGCAAAAGAAGGAACACATTACCCGTTGTGATCTCCTAGTAGACATTAACTTTAAAAGACTCCAGAATCTTTAAAATGCCATGCACAACACAACATAAGATCTACAGACATAAGGAAATCAGCATTCATAGAATAATACTGTCAAATGCTTCAAATTTTAAACTAATATTATACAGGTAGCAGCAATTGCAAGACATATCTACCTTCTAATCTCTCGAGCTAAAATTTCTGTGGTTAAAATATAGATTAGTGGTGATAAAGGGCAGCCTTGTCATGTCCCGTTACTTAATCGGAACCAGTCTGGACGTATATTTTGTCTCACAGTTCTAGCAGTGGAATTACTATATAATATAGCCCTAAGAAAAAACAAAAAAAATTAAATCCAAAAGCCTCTAATGTTTTAAATAAAAAAGACCAATTAACATGGTCAAAAGCTTTTTCAGCATCGACTGCTATTAACACAAATTCTCCCTTTTTATTTCTTGCTGCATCTATGATGTCAATAATCCTCCTTATATTGTTTAATGAACTTCTATTCGGTACAAAACCGATTTGATCTTTGGGAATTATATATGCAATTACCTCTTTTAGTCAACTGGCCAAAACTGAAGATAGTATTTTAAGATCCGTGTTAATTAATGATATTGGCTGATAGCTTAATGCCGAAGATCTTTATCTGGCTTAGGTATTCGTAATATATTTGCCTATAATAATTCCAGAGGCATACTGGTATTTTTAATAATATCATTAAAGGGACTCTCCAGTGTCAGGAAAACAAACTGTTTTCCTGGCACTGCAGGTCCCCTCTCCCTCCCACCCCCCAGCCCATGTTGCTGAAGGGGTTAAAACCCTTCAGTGACTTACCTGTATCCAGTGCCCATGTCCTTCGGCGCTGGGTCAGGGTCCGCCAACGCTCCTCCCCCACCGACGTCATCCAGAGGGGGAGACCTATTGGGCATTCGCGACAGGTGGTGGGGGAGACATAATGCGCATGAGCGGGGTGCCGCGCATGCGCATTAGACCTCCCCATAGGAAAGCATTGAGTAATGCTTTCAATGCTTTCCTATGGGGATTTCGGCGACGCTGTAGGTCCTCACATAGCGTGAGGTCGTCCAGCGTCATTATAACACACTTTTCGTGTTTATGAACATGGTAGTGTCCTCTAGTGGCTGTCTACTAGACAGCCACTAGAGGAGGACTTAACCCTGCAAGGTAAATATTGTAGTTTATAAAAACTGCAATAATTACACTTGCAGGGTTATGGGTAGTGGGAGTTGGCACCCAGACCACTCCAATGGGCAGAAGTGGTCTCGGTGCCTGGAGTGTCCCTTTAAAGACTTTTGTAATTTCTGGTACTATTTCATTTTTTTAGATTTTAATAAAAGAGCCTGTAAATGCATCAGGATCTGGTGTTTTGTTTCTTTTCAATTCGCCAATGGCTTTACTAATTTCTACATTATTAATCGGGGCATTCAACAAATTCTGCTTCTCCTCTTGTACTTGTCTTATATCTCAATTTTTCAAATAATTAACCAGTTGTTCCTGGTCCTTTGGTGCCGGTAAATTATATAGAGAACTGTAATACTTATTAAATGCCTGGACTATATCTACCAGAGCTAGACAAACCTCATTCGAGTGGACTATCTTATTTATTCTATTTACCTCTTGTCTCTTCTTTAATTTGTTGGTTAAAAATGTGTTAAGTTTGTTATTTTTAACGTACAGTGTTTTCATTTTTCTAGATTTCTATTTATTCTGTCCATCTCAAGTTTGTTTATTTTGTCTTTAAGTTCATGCATTTCATTAGTACTTTTTTTACTTGAGGACTCCTGATTTAATTTATCTATTTTGTAAAGCTTAATTAATCATGTTGGAATATTATTATGTATTTATGTATTATGTAAGAGCCCACAGAACTATAATGTTCTTGAACTGGTTTGTTACTGGTAAGTCATAAATGGTTATGTAGAGGAGAGGTAGTATAATCCACGATATCTCTGCCGGTATATATGAAAAGCATATAATAATCCAAGTAGGCAGGTACAGCATATAATAATCCAAGTAGCGTTATAAGAATTCTTCCCTCCCAAGAACTAGACGACACATAGGCTGGGAGTCAACTGAGGTTTTTATTCATAAGCTCCAGTATTTATGTGGTTCCCCATGCAAGGGGTTTCCTTAATTACTTTACAGAGGTTGTACAGTAGGGGACTACATGGGGAACTGAACATACAGGACATTTTTCCCACCATGCACTGCTGTACGAGAGGGATACTCCCATAAGAATATCCAGTTAAGTGGATTATCCCTCTGTACAGCAGAACTGGCTTTTTACTTAAAAATCCATAACTTATATATTATTCGTGCCATTGTACCGAATGACCGTTCGGCAGATAGCTGGGGTCTGAGTGCATACTTCATGAAAGTACCGCTCAGATCCCAGCACAATTAGCCGAACGCCGCACGAAATACACCTTGATATAAACTCCTCATAAAAGTCACGAATACACATGTAGAGAGATGCCTGGAAGTCCAGCGGTGTTCGTGCCATTGAGCAGCCGATTTTAGTTCCAGGCGCACAACGACCAAACACCGCTGGGCTAACAAAGGATCCAGGATGGCCGCCGCCGCGTGGTCGGTATCTGAACGGCGGCCACCGTGAAAATCTATTAACTGCAGAGAGATACATTGTTGCCATCCGTAATGGGAGCCACACGACCCCCTGTGTGTGGTCTCCCATTTGGTACTTTGTTCGTTTCAGGAACAGTGTTGAAATTCACTATCCGTGAAACTACCATATGAATGCTTGCGGCTTTCGTGCCGATAGCATATGAATGCTCTCATTCACATAAAACACAGAATAGGGAACACGGACATTTCAGGCAGTCTTAAAGCAACAATATCACATAAGGTAACTACAGTCTTAAGTGGCTAGGTTTGCCACAGGTTATAAGGAATACAAATACAGTTTTATGAAATAATAAAATATTAAAACAAATTTGCCCCTAGGTGACACTGTAAGTACTAACAACCTTATATTATTCATGGAATATGGGTATTAGAACATTAAGTGAGTAAAGCCCAACAGGTTAAGGGCAAAGTTTATAGAGAGGTGGCAGATCAAACCATAGTGAGCCACCATTACTGGTACCCCCAGTCCCTCTTTAAACTAAAAATAAATACTTGTCAAAAGACTGTGTCTGCATATATACAAAATATTTGTATCATATTTAGTCTTTATTTATTTGTTCTTTTTTTTTTAAATAAAATATTTTACCAGGATGGATACATTGAGATTTCTCTTGTTTTCAAGTATGTCCTGGGTCCACAAAACATTGCATTATTACAATAGGATACAATATTACAAAAATACAATATACAAACTATACACATACACACATATATAAATTTAATACATAACAGATAATAAATATATTCAACCATGACAGATGCATTCTGTTCTGAGGTATACTGCCATAGATCTCTTAAACGATTTGAATGATGTGAATGTAGAATTGACTGTGTCTCTGAGGTTATTCCATAATTGCGGTGCTCTGTAGGAAATGGAGGATCGAGCCACTTTATTTTTGTATTGCGGTATGCTAAATATCATGCTAGTACTTGATCGGAGGTTATAGGAGGTGGGAACAGCCAGGAGAGCATTCTATTCAGGAAGGGTGGGAGCTTCCCAGAAATTCTCTTATGCACAAGGCTGGAAAGATGAAGAGTGAGTTGGGATACCAGCGACAGCCAGTTTAGCTCTTTTAACATGTCACAGTGGTAACATGTCAAGTAATTACATTCTAGTACAAAGTGGCAGAACAAATTATATAACGTATTAAGTTTATTAGGGTGGGTTTGCATTGCGGGTGCATACACTACATCCCCATAATCAATGACCGGCTTTAGCATTTGTTGCACTGTTTCCTTACTGTAGGGCTTAGGCAGGATTTGTTTCTGTACATGACACCTAGTTTTGGGTAAAGTTTTGAAGAGATTTTTTCAATGTGAAGGATAGATTGGGGTCTAGCAACATACCTAGATATTTAAAAGAGCAGACTGCTGTCAGTGTGCTATTAGAATTTGTTCTGATACACAATTGTTGATTTTGTAGTTTACGTAATTTAGGTACAGTTCCAAAGATCATTGTAACGGTTTTGTCAGTGTTTAGGAAGAGTTTGTTATCCGCTATCCACTTTTCTACCTCTGTGAATTGGTTTTGGAGCACAGCCTCAAGCTGTGGTAGATTGGTTTAGTAGCGTAGCTTACAGTGTCGTCTGCATACATGTGGACAGTTGAGGATATGCAGACATTAGGCAGATCATTTATAAATAATGTGAATAGCAGGGGGCACCAGAATTTCTGCTACTTTTCCACCATGTTTGTTTGCTGTCCATCTTTTGTGTTTTTAAACCCCACCTCCTCTAGACTGTAAGCTCATAGTAAATGTCAATATATCTGTAAATGCAAAAGTATCGAAAAGGTATCACACCATTATATAAGCAAGGCATATGTACCAAAGATATGACACAGTGGTAATAGTACGCCCTCCGGTCTTTCGGTACTTACCCGGTCGCCAGCGGTCCCACGCCGGCGATCGCGGTGGGGGGGACTCCCAGGGAGCCCCCCGCGGCACATCCGTCCTCCACGAAGCCCCCCGGCCGTGTGAGAGTGGGGTCCTTGCGAGGACCCCACAATCACATGGCCGGGGACAGCTGGCTTCTGTATTGCCAGCAGGGGGGCTGCCTGTGATGACAGGTGGTCCCCCTGCTGGCTGAAAATAAAATGAAAATAAGTTAAAAGTGTAAAAAAAAAAAAATAATATATACTTAGATCATATATATATATTATATATATATGATCTAAGTATATATATACACATATACATAAACACATGTACACCGTCTAGGTGTATTTTACTATTAATATATATATAATTATATATATATATTAATATCAAATTACACGTAGACTGATACTGATTAAATATATATATAATTATTGTTATATATATATTTATATATAATATAAAAAAAATAAAAATGTAAATACGTTAAAAAATAAAATTAAAAAAATAATTAAAAATAAATAATTAAAAAATATATAGATGTGTGTTATTTCATTCTAACTGTTTTGTGAAATTAATATATATATATATATATATCAAAATACACGTAGAACGAAATAATATATATATCTATATACATAAATATATACGTATATATCACTATATATATACCTATATATAAATAAAAATATTTTTAAAAAATTATATAGATATATACATATATATACATACGTATATATATACATATATTAATTCTACATATATATTTATGTAATATTTTTACATAATTAGGTATCTTAATTAATTACAATTAGCAGGACCTGCCTGACAACCCATGCCGAAAGTAAAGGGAATTTAATTTGCTAGCACTATATTTAACCCTATAACTTTCCGAGACACCATAAAACCTGTACATGGGGGGTACTGTTCTACTCGGGAGACTTCGCTGAACACAAATATTAGTGTTTCAAAACAGTAAAATGTATTACAACGATGATATCGCCAGTAAAAGTGACGTTTTTTGCATTTTTCACGCACAAACAGCATTACACGGACAATATTATTGCTGTGATACTTTTTACTGTTTTGAAACACAAATACTTGTGTTCAGCGAAGTCTCCCGAGTACAACAGTACCCCTCATGTACAGGTTTTATGGTGTTTTCAAAAGTTACAGCGTCAAATATAAGGCTTGCGTTTCATTTTTTTCACATTAAAATTCGCCAGATTGGTTATGTTGCGAATTTCAATTTCAAATGTAACGTGCTATATTTGACCCTGTAACTTCCCAAAATGCCATAAAACCTGTACATAGGGGGTACTGTCTTACACGTGAGACTTTACTGAATACAAATATGTGTATTTTATTGCAGTAAAAGCAAACAGTATTATGACACTGACCTTTAAAATGTCATGTAGAACTAAAAAATTTTTATTTTCTCCCATTTTTTTCATATTAAATTAAATTTCATAGCTAAATATTTGATATTAAATGAAAGCCCTGTTCCCCTGAATAAAATTGTATATAATAAGGGTGGGTGCATTTACTATGAAAGAGGTGTATTACGGTTGGACAGACATGTAGCGCAAATGCCAGGTTTTGTTTACATTTTGTTTTGTTCACAATGTGTACATTTGGCTCCGTCCTTAAGGGGTTAAATAGGTACTTGCAGAATGAAACGTATTACATGAAATCATATTTGAACAAGAAAAATACAAATTAAAAATTTGTCCCGAAGAAAAAAAAAATTGTTATGCAACAGACAAGAGGTAGGGTGTACGTGAAGACCCTAGTCTAATAGTGAATAATAATAATAGTGAATAATAGTGAACATCTAATAGTGAATAATTAGAGGACTGTCAATATTGTGCAGCAGCACAAGTCACGCATGTCACCTCCACTTGTCTTTCCCATCGCCTGCCTCTCATCCAAGACAGGGATTGCCCAGCCCTCCAGCTACCAGTCTGCCAGAGGCCACAGCCCCAAGCTAAGCAGGACTCCCAGCAATGAGGCAGAGGGTCCATCCAGGTAGCAGGCTTTCAACCTGGCATAAACAGCAGTGGGTTGGTAGCTCCCAGGCATATGAGCGGTTGGGACACACTCCTCTAGTCAGGTCAGAGACAGTCGTCTACAAATTTCAGTTAGAAGGTGAGTGGAAATGTGGTGAGGTTCACCGAGTGGGGGAGTCTGCCAAGCACCTTCAGGAGCTCTGTTAGGAGTGAAATTGTCAAGCAAACAGAAAACTCAAAATTTGTAACATGTAACCTCCATCTGTCCTGGGAGGGGGTATAGTATGATCTCCACTGTCTGTCATTGCAGTTCGAGTGCGACAAGTATGTCCGTGTTGGGATGTTTCACCCAGGAAGAGCAGGAGTCTCCAGTGTCTATTTATAGGCCACAGGCTCCTATTAGCGAGTAGTCCCAAAACCGAGGCATCTTCACATTTACAGGCCCTCTGTTTACCAGCTAGCCTCTCTGTGATGAAGTGGTATTCCCCCATTGAGATCCAGGACTGGAGCTACATGAGATGGCGTCCCATCAGCTCGATGGTCCGGCCCCGTCCTATTACCTTTCATTAAAAATTAGGACACAGTTAAAGATAGTTTTACATGTTTATTTAAATTTTAACATGTATTGACAGTTTCAAAATCAGATCACATAATTTTTAAAAAACAAACAAAAATAGTTGTATTAAAAATAATTACTTAAGGCTACTTGATACTTCTACTAAACTATGTTTGTCCTTGCTATGTGAGATAATAGTTGGATTTGCTTACAGTATAAACACATTTGTTATCAGTTGTATGTTAGCATGTGGACGTATTCCCACTATTTTCAAAAGATGGCAGTTCAATTTTCCATCCACAATCAAGGTATAAAAGAGGCAATGAATCTTAAAAAAGCCCATTATCTGAGTGTGACTCAAGATGTTCAGATTCCTTCTCCTTTTGGCTCTAGTCCTTTGTGGTAAGTAGTATTTTTTTTCTTATATTTTAGAAAATAACACTTAAAATTCTAGGAATTTTCTGACAACACAGAATGTAGACTTCTGTTGGAATTCAAAGAAGGCAATCTGAGTTTTGTACTGAAAGTTGAAGTAATAGTATTGTAAAAAAAAAATAGTAATAAAAAAGATAACTCGTATTTTTATGAGAAGACTATATATCATTAATTTTAATAATTTATAACTAGGATGAATATATTATTATTATTTATTATTAGCTTTATTCAGTTTTTAAGTATGTCTTGGGATTTAAATGTTACAATTAGACACCTCAATTCAAGTGCACTCATTTTATCAACCACAGAATGTTTAATTATAAGAAACCCTGAGGAAAGTTGAAAAGTTCTCATCAACAACATATAATAATTTCTCAGAACTGGAAAATGTTTAAAATAACGCAAGAACACATGATTGTAGTCTAATTCTAAGAAGACATCCTCTTCAAGTATCAATCTATTCTTGCTAGAAAACCTATCAAAGTATTTTGAAATTAAAATAAGATTATCATTGCAAATCCCTTTTCAAACACCCAAAATTCCTAGTTTATTGATGAAACTCCATTATATTGTGGATATATAGCCTGCATACATCTCATACAATTCGATTAAAATATACTGACTTTAGAATTCACCTATAAATGTTTTATGGAATTATAAAGCGATAACTAAAGTATTTTGTATTCTAATAACATTATCTGAAGGTAACCTCTAGAATTCTCATGCCATACAATTTTCATATTTTAAGTAAAACCCCTAGACTAAAGAAAAATGAATATGTAGAATTGTAAAAATTTCTGATATCTGAAGAATTTTCATAGCATTCCATTACATAAAGAATTCATAATACATCTAATGTGATAACTTAAATGAACACTATAGCGTTACGTATACAAACATGTATTCCTAATACTTTAGTATCCTACTAACTGTTTTTGTTATTGCCCCCTCACCTCATGTGCAATAAAGAGCCATTTTTACTCATCTTTCAGCCCACATTGCTCCAGTCTTGGCCATGCTGGCTCGCCTCCATTGTTGCGATCATCGATATTCCATAATGAAGGATTAGAAGACTAATTTATGAGAACATGTGATTGACTAGTTTATTTCAGCAAAAGCGCTTCTAGTGGTTTTCAGGAAGATACATACCCCGTATAACACACATAGATACCCACAAAAACTCTCAAAACGTACACTCTTCAAGAACAAATGAAAAAACACACTGCTAGACAATCATACACATATACACATATGTGTGGTAGCTGATTATGATGTTGTATGTTTGTGGGATTGCATGTGTGTGGTTGGCTGCTATATGTCACAATCACACACTCATGAATGCACACATACAGATGGATTCACAAAGACACAAAAAGATACACACAAATACACATAGTCAAATATTCAAATGTATATAGAGACACACACACACTAATCCAAACATAAACTCACTGATAGACATTCAAAGTCATATATACACTCACAGTTAGCACACACATATGAACCCTCCATAATATAACAACTTCCTGTAAAGAGAAGGATAACAGTTCCCTACCTGCTTTGGAGTATCACCCCCATGACGTCCTGGCATGTTGAAGATGCTGGTCCTCATATGGAGGACTCAGGCTTAAGGCCACTTTACAAATTGTGAGGCAGTGGTTGTTCATTCATTGTTGGAGGGCCGGGCCAGACCGGAAAATAGACCAATAAGTCATCATCTCTTTGTACTTCACACTGGGAGAGACAAAGCCATAGCATGTAGTCCAGCACTTTGCGGGACTGCAGCCATGGCTTGTAAGCATACCCACTTAAAAGAACATCGGTCCACCAGGTTTTTGTCCGGTGTGTTCTATGGCCAATCAAGTCCTGCGTCCCATAGCATGACAATCAGCTGACAAGTTATGGAGATCTTCAATCTCCCCAATGCCCATGCTGCCCCTCTCCAGCCTGCCATCCTAAGGACGTGGCCTTGGTGGCTTTGTGGGAAATCTGTCCCTCTCTGAGGTTGTGCACAACCTCAGACTGGCTTTTCAGATATATACTTCATCATAGCTTTATACACATTAACATATTCTTGTATTTCTTTATTTCTTTATTTCCTTTAGATGCAGGACAATAGGAAACCAACACTGTATATCAGTGGCATGGCATAGTCTTTAAGATTAAATGCTGATGTTAAGTTGGTGACTGTTTTATTTTTCCTGGCAACACCACTTAAGTATTTACTGGCATAAAGTATAAAACAGACTCAGCTGCATGCTTGGGCATGTATGCCTACCCAGCATTTTTAAATAATGCCATGTGCTCGCCTTCATGTATAGAATGTACAGCAGGGCATAAATCAGGCCTTCATTTAGGATATAGTCCCAGTAATACATTCCACCTAGATTACATACACTAGTTATTTTGTGGAAGGATGTAAGTACAACTATTGTACTATAGATTTGAATCGCTCGTTAAAAGTTACCATTCGTACGCTATTGATAAGAGTCCATTCATTTTTATTTATTTATTCTACTTTTCTTGTGTAGGACAGTGTTTTGAAGAATTAAGGGTTTACGATGGAAGTTCCCGTGTGGTAGGAGGAACCGACGCAATTAAAAATTCTTGGCCATGGCAGGTTAGTGATGATCAATGAAAACGTTTTAAAATTAATAAAAACTAAATTAAATAAATTAACTAATAACTAAATAAAAATAAAAAAGCTCAACAACTTGTGCTATTAAAATAGATTAGAGCTTTGCATGCTGCTTGCACCATGTAACACCTTGAAAATATTTCTTTAAGGAGTAAAATAAAAGTGTAGAAAAATATAGAAAAATATTATGGGAACATGCTAGGAGACATATATAGGAAGTATAGGAATGAAATGACAAACTTCAATATTAATATATTGGACCATTTTATTTATATTGTGTCTTGTATTGTAAAAATCATACAATCTTACCAAGATTTCAGTAAGACTTTTGACACTGTTGCACATAGAAGGCTTATCAATAAACGGCAATCTTTAAGTTTGGATTCCAATATTGTTATATGGGTTAGACAGTGGCTGAATGACAGTCAACAGAGGGTTGTAGTCAATGGAGTATATTCGAAACAAGGTCTTGTTACCAGTGGGGTCCTTCAGGGATCTGTACTTGGACCCATTCTCTTTTATAATTTTATTAGTGATATTGAAGAATGTTTCTGTGGTAAGGTAAGTCTTTTTGCTCATGATACTAAGATATGTAACAGGGTTGATGTTCCAGGAGGGATAAGCCAAATGGCAAATTATTTAGGTAAACTAGAAAAATGGTAAGAGTTGTGGCAGCTGACATTTAATGTGGATAAGTGCAAGATAATGCATCTTGGACGTAAAAACCCAGGGTCAAAGTACAGAATATTTGATAAAGTTCTAATCTCAACATCTGAGGAAAGGGATTTAGGGATGATTATTTCAAATGACTTAAAGGTAGGCAGACAGTGTAATAGTGCAACAGGAAATGCTAGTAGAATGCTTGGTTGTATAGGGAGAGGTATTAGCAGTAGAAAGAGGGAAGTGCTCGTGCCATTGAACAGAACACTGGTGAGATCTCGCTTGGAGTAGTGTACGCAGTACTGGAGACTGTATTTCCAGAAGGAAATTGATACTTTGGAGAGAGTTCAGAGAAGGACTACTAAACTGGATAAAATTTACAGGACAAAACTTGCAAGGAAAGGTTAAAGATTTTAACATGTATTGCTTGGAGGAAAGATGAGACGGGGGATTTGATAGAAACATTTAAATACATAAAGGGAATCAACACAGTAAAGGAGGAGACTATATTGAAAAGAAGAAAAACTATCACAACAAGAGAACATAGTCTTAAATTAGAGGAGCAAAGGTTTAAAAATAATATCAGGAAGTATTACTTTACTGAGAGGGTAGTGGATGCATGGAATAGCATTTCAGCTGAAGTGGTAGAGGTTAACACAGTAAAGGAGTTTAAGCATGCGTGGGATAGGCATAAGGCTATCCTAGATATAAGATAAAGCCAGGGACTAATAAGAGTTTTTAGAAAATTGGGCAGACTAGATGGACCGAATGGTTCTTATCTGCTGTCACATTCCATGTTTCTATGTTTATCTTTCACTGTAATTGGTTCCAGGCAGATTTATTACAACGTTTCGATCTATACAGGTCTTTATCAAGCTTGAATAATAATAAATCTGCCTGGAACCAATTACAGTGAGTGCCTGAGATCTTTCTCATTACTACGTATTTTTTGGGAGTTTGCTGACCCTTGCTCAGTAGCACCCTGTGTTGGTATATTGCGACTGAGTGCGACCCTACCTTTTGTCTTCTATGTTTATCTTTATCTCATGCATTGCCATTGTTGGAGGGAGGGTCTTTACCCACCAAACACTTTCTCTCTACTATCCTCCCCACATGTTCCTCCAAATCTCTTTTTAATTTCATCCTGACTTAATGTGATTAAGTTAATACTGTGTACTTGGCAATATAGTGTGAGAAATTAAAAGGTGACTACTATGGACTGCAAACGTTACTATTTCAAGTGCTATCACATACCTGATACGATAAAATGTAAACTTCTCTAACCTTTATTCTGTCCCGTGTTGCACTTTTCTTTAATCTTAAAAAACTGTCTCTAAATAGAGATGGTAAAAATATTGAACTAATTTAAACACATTACTATTTAGTAATGAAAGCTAATGTTTGGTATTCTGGTTGTTAGATTTCCTGTGATCAGTGGCAGAACTAATGTAGGAAGAGCCCTGGTTCAAGAATTTTTTTTGGCCCCTCTCTAGCACAAGGAGGCCAAAACAGAGATCTCCACCTGTCATACAACTCCCACTATGTTATGCCTGCCATTTGCCCATCCTTGCAGCTTTGTACTTGTGAGCGTTTGAATGTAATCATGTTTTTGTATGGAGAATGTGTGTGTGCATGTATTGATGTATTTGTATGTACCATTGCCATTGGAATGCAGTGGTGTACTTCTATGTAGTGTTTGCATTTGATTGCGAGGGTGTGTTTGCTTGTCATGTTGGAGTTTGATTGCTGGGATGTATGCACATATACGCATGCAGAGCCAAATACATACATATTTACACAGATACATATACACACATAGATACACACACAGATATACATAGTGACCCACAGTTACACATATCTAAACACACCGACACACACATAGATACACTTACACTAAGATACACCACTCACACAGATACACACATTCACACTATAATACACACATATACTGACATATTCACACACAATACATATAATTGTTATATTTTTAGCATTAGTCACCCTTCTGTTAGCATAACTTTTATGTGCAGGAGGGTGGCTTGCTTGGGTTCTGCTCAGTGGTGGTGCTAATGTAGAGAGAGCTCTGGTGCAAGAAAGTTTTTTGGGCCCTCCTCTACTGCAAGAGTGGCCAAAAGGTAGACCACATCCGTCGTACAACACCAACAATGCTATGCCAGTTGGGGATCTACCATTTGCCCATCTGTGCAGAGTTGTATTTGCATTCAGTGTTTGTGCATTTGAATGTAAGCATGTTTTTGTATAGAGTATATGTGTGCATGTAGAGGTGTATTTGTATGTAATGTTATCATTGGAATGCAGTGTTGTACTTGTGTGTAGTATTTGTATTTGAATGCAGGGTTGTGATTGTATGCAGAAATGGATTTTAAATGCAGGTGTGCTTTTGTGTGTAGTATTGGTGCTTGAAGGGGAGCTTATATATAATTGTAGTATTTTTATACAGGGGTGTGTTTTGTGTAATGTTTGTGTTTCCTTGCAGTTGTGTGTTTGTATTTAATGTTGGTTTTTAAATGCGGATGTGCATTAGTGTGTAGTATTGGTGTTTGAATGAACAGGTGTGTTTGCATATAATTTTGGAGTTTGAATGCGGCAGTGTTTCTGTATGTACTATTTGTGTATGATTGCATGGATCCTGTGCACGAGAGGCAAAGAAAACAGAAATATGGTAACCGAGAGGTAGAAATAATAGGAATGCAAAAGAGACATCCCAAAAAACTCTCATGGGAATGACAAACAAGTGGTTCACATTATCTGTAGTCTCAAATTGCAAGATATGTGATAAGATATAGCAAGGAAAGCCCTGGACTAAACCCAGAGACTGATTATTTTGGTAGTAGACTTTGAATAATCTACGAAAGAGAGCTTGTGTTTAAAGGGAACTGCAGGCTACACTTGCTGAAGTTCCAACATTTGTCCTTTTTTCTAAATAAAGCTTCACACAAAATAACAAATCTTTTCAAGACGCTTATTCTATTATTTTCCATAGATTTCGCTACAGGTTCTCTCTGGTGGAGTTTGGTACCATATTTGTGGCGGAACCTTGATCCGTTCTAATTGGGTCTTGACAGCTGCTCACTGTGTCGACAGGTAACAGTTGCTGGAGAGTGAATTAAAATGTTTTTTTTTAATGTGTTCAAAAGAACAGAAGATACATATTATAACTTAATGTTGTATGTAAAAAAATATTTATATAAAAAGGTTCCACTCCTAAGTGCAGTAAGTGAACTACCTTGTAAGGAGTCCATAGGTCCCCATGTAACCACAAGGGACTGTAATGATTCACAGAAAATGTAATCCCTAGTGATCACCTAATAATCAAAGACGTGGATTAATTACCACCCAGTAACGTATTTTGTTACATCAAATTTGATGCTTTAATGTTTATATTTGACATTAATTGCACTGTATAAATAAGTAGAGGACACTGCTAAGTAGAATGTCTTTTTGCAAAACTAGAGATTTGAAAATCAGTAATTTGAAGTGCTCATGGTGCTTTCCATCTGTATGTGCAGTGTTTTCCTTTGAAACTGCTGGAGGCAAAAAAAAAATGCCTGAGTTATTACCATGTGATATATATATATATATATATATACACATTAACATGTTGGAGTGCTCAGTAAATGGTTTAGGTACTCGTGACATCTGTAACCACTTCACTCTGACATAATGATACATCTTTAACCACGTCGCCATGACTACATTAAACTTTAAAAACACTCTAGCTTTCCTTTCTAAAATTTCTGGTAAAGCAATCATTAATGATCACTGGAATGTCACATTTAATTTGATGTATGCAAATATTACGTTTTAGGTCATATGATATTGATTTTTTTTAAACTGGTCTTTTTAGGTGTTTTTCTTCAGCTTTTACATCTTCATTAAACATGTAATGTTTCACTTTCACTCAAATGCAGTTATGATACTTATCGTGTGTCATTGGGAGATCATAACATTTATGAATCCGAACCAACTCGTCAGGTTATCTCTGTGGATAAAGTAATATCTCATGCCCAGTGGAACACCAATGATGTATCAGCTGGGTAAGCAATGGGTTAAATGAAGTGGGAGAAATTGCGGCTCACCATGACAATGAGTAATGCAGCTAAAATGCAGATCACCTTTGATATTGATTATCCAGTGACTATGGTTTGTTTGTGTAAGTCATCTACTGTAAAAAAAAAAAAAAAAAATTTAAATCTACAAATCTGTGGTTTGCAGAACATTAACATACATTGTATTTTTCTAGATATGATGTTGCTGTTATTCGCTTGGCCACCAACGCCATCCTGAACAATGCAGTTCAACTCGCTCAATTACCTGAGTCTAATGTTATCCTTGCAAACAACCATCCTTGCACTGTTACTGGATGGGGTTATACCAGCAGTAAGTTCTATTATTGGAGGCATATCTAATTCTGAATCTTTTAAAAAGTTCTAATCATGATTACAATAAAACGTAATACCTCCCACTGGTGTAACAAAATCCTCGCACTTGGCATTAAAGGGTCATTATAGTCACCCAGACCACTTCAGCTCAATGAAGTGGTCTGGGTGCCAGGTCCCTCTAGGGCTAACCTTGCCTGCTGTAGACATAGAAGTTTCAGAAAAACTGCTATGTTTACATTTGGGCTTAAGCCAGCCTCTAGTGGCTGTCTTCCGGACAGCCACTAGAGGCGCATCTGCAACGCTGGAGGCATTTAATGCCTCCATCACGCAGAGCGTCCATAGGAAAGCACTAAATAATTTTTAATTGGTAATTTATAGTACCACTGTATTTTACTTTGTATTTAGGTTCATTGTATTGCCCCGGTACAGACACATTTCATATCCTTTCAGGAAATACAGAAACCAGATCACAAAAGCTCTTCTGTTCTTCTGTAATCCTCTCCATTCTCCACTCTTTGCAACTAAGGGGATAATTCACTAAAGTCCAAATGGCCCTGTAGCGAATGGGGGTGGAGCCTGTTAAATAACACTGTGAATAGACCCACCCCCCCCATGATCCCATCCATTTGGGAGATCACTGTCCAACTCCCTCCCACCACCCATGGAAAGCAGATGGGGCTATTTAATAAAAGAAAAAGGGGGAACATCCTAAAGTCTCCTTTGCCTGCACCCGTAGTCAGCTGGTTGTGGGTTATTCTGATATAAGTGTTCCTCTGATCCTTACCCATTGGCAGCAGGTGGAGGTCCTAATTATAATATTTAGGGGGAAAAACCTAGTGTCCTCCCCAGATCCCACCCATGGGAGGCTGGGGGTTCTAAATAATTAAATAATGGAGGGTGGAGATATCATTGTCCAAGATTGCTAGGGGTCCTCAATCCCCTAGCTACTCAGCCATTAAAGTTAAATAACCTCATCTAACCCCCAACCCTGATAATACTAAGCGGGGAAATAAAACTAATAAGTGTAAAAGAAAAAAATATCTCCCGTCTTCTAACTCTTATTTTCTTTAGCCACAAAAATGAGGCCAAATTAAAATCCATAATTCTCGAAGCAATAAAATAAAAAATGTATTTTTTTTTAAATTATTTGCAAAAAAACAACAACAACTTCTAAAACACAAAATAATATAAATAAACCATCTTCATTCAAAGAGGGCACACTACAGGCTGAGCTCTCATAGCAGAGGTACTTATGTTTTGTCAGCTGTTACAATTGCAATAGCTGCCAGAGCACTCTGAGAGACAAGAAACCTTAGATCCTCCCCCCTAAATATTATATTTATGGCCCCCGCCTGCCACTAAACTGTTACTTATTGCAAATTCACCACAGAATGACAAGTAGACAGATATAATAAATGGAAAAAAAATATCGATTCAGCTTTGCTTCCATCTTATCAATTACCTGGTAAATTCAATATCAATTCTCGGTGTTGTGAATAATCTTATTGATGTTATTTATCTGAGCTTTTACCTATGTGCCGCAGACCATATAAGCACTGGGAAAAAAAACTTTGTAAGACATGACTTGCACATGTAATGTATTACATTAGATGAATAGCTAACTTCTCTTTTAACTAGCAAATGGAGCAGTGGCAGCAGTTCTTCAAGAGGCTCCTCTACCAGTGGTGGACCATAAAACATGCTCTGGCATTTTGTACTGGGGTTCAACCGTTAAGACTTCCATGGTGTGCGCTGGAGGAAATGGAGCTCAATCAGGGTGTTTTGTAAGTTCTTATGACCTATTGTACACTACACTACCTAAACCTAAATAGTCATATTCCTTCTGCTATTTTCTTGGGTCTCACTGAATTGAGTATGCACATATTGTTGGTGGGACGCCAGGAAGATGCATACAATAGACAACAGCCTTTTATTCCTCAATAAAATGGACATACCCATGATCAATCAGAATAATCTAATTTAGTCATGTTGCAGAATGTATTGTAAAATGCTATATTACAATAGAAGAATTTTTCTCTGAGCTAAACTTAGCTAAAGTAAAGAAGTAGTCACTGAGATAATACCATGTAGGTAATTTGGGCACCCCTAAAAAAAGATTAAGACCAATGATATAACCACATAGCTTAGCGACTTTCAGAATTTTCACAATCATACAACTCATAGCAGACTTAATTAAATGGCTAAAATGCTTTAATATACATAACTTTTTTTTACTGATCATTTGCATAAGAAGCATCATTATCAAAGTATTTTTTGTTACAATGCTCCTGAAAAATGTCAGCAAGACAGGGGTGGAAATATGTTAAGGCTTTTATTTTTAATTTGTTTAGAAGAGGTTTTTAAATCAATATTTTTGCTCATTTGCATTTACAAAGTGAGATTGTTATGTGTTATTGATCATCTGCATGATCATGGTAACACTTACTAGTTTAAATGTTACTGAATTTACAAACTGGGGTGAAATCTGGTGCATTTTTAAAAAAAAATGTGTATTAAATTCAGTGTTATAAATCAGTTGTGCTGAAATTCATATTGAAACTGATGTTTAGTGTTGCACTATTGAAACAATTAAAAAAAAATATTTCTCTAGTTAAATGAATTGCAAAAACATTAATTGCTCTTTTGTTTGCACCAGTTTTAGAAATTTAATTAACTTCTGCCATTTCTAAAATGAAAACAATGTACAGTAGCGCTGTGTAAATATCTCATGTTTGCAGTGAAACGTTCTACCGGTTTGAGGCAAATGTTACATTCCAGGATACGTCCAGCACAAAAACTAGCCTCAACAGTAAATGTAATTTGAAACCCAGATACATATTAAATTGAGCTTATATCATGCTTTGAATGAATGACTGACTGACTGAATAAATGTTTTTTTGTTTTAATTAAATATCTTCAAAGATTATCTTCTCTTTGCAGCTCTCGTTTGTTGCAATATTGATTCAATATTCAAAGTAATATTTTATATATTAACTAATTATATTCCAACTTGCTCTTTATTAAGGGTAGTAGATTTAGATTGCAAACGTAAATCTAAAAACCTTCCTCGTTCCTTTCTCTTATTGAAGCTGTGGAATATGTTGTGGCTATATAAATACTATTACTAATAATAATAGATAGTTCAGTTGGATCATTTACCAACTGGGCTACTTTTTAATTACCCCTTAGGAAAGGCAAAAATGTCTAAAATTTTTTTGACATATCACTCTTTTCAAGAATGTATGCATTATTGTCTCAATTAGTTATATTTTGTTTTTGTTTCTAACAACATAGGGAGATTCTGGAGGTCCTCTTAACTGTCTAGTCAATGGAGGCTATGAAGTCCATGGTGTAACCAGTTTTGTTTCTTCTCGTGGATGCAATGCCATACGCAAACCCACTGTGTTTACCAGAGTCTCAGCTTACACTAGCTGGATTAATGATGTAAGTTTTCTCCCAATATGTATATATATTTATTTTTCAAATTTTTAAACTTTTTATAGGTTTCAAGTTTTTCCTTTCTCGACTCAGTAGAAATGTTTGTTGGCAAATAGATATTTTCTTCTCTGTTAGAATGTGTCTTGGACTTCTTTCTTTTCCCTCGATGTTTGTTGCCTTAATTTACTGTATTTTCCCAATTGTTGTTTATTTTATTAATGATGGCGTCACCAGTAGTGTAAATCCAGTGTCGCCAAGTAAGATGTTACATGAATGAGCTAACAAGGGTTTTATTCTGTCTTTCAGAATATTAATGCGAACTCTTAAGATGGAATGATGAAGCTGTGGATAAAAGATTCAACCATCAAATGTCACTGTTTTTCAGTAAAATAAAATAAATAATTTCTTATTGGTTACTGTCCCTTTCATTTGATATACCATGTGCAATAAAACTATAGTTCATATAATTTGAGACATAAACACGGTTATTTATTAAATTGAGAATCCAAAGGGAATGTTAAATGTAGGTTAGAAATAGTTAAACTGGAAAAACTGCTGATTTCACTTTCAGTTTGGCTTCTCTGGCCTTAAATTTGAAATTCAATTTCACTTCTTATGTTAATAACCCTGAAAGGTTTTGAAAATGTTGTACTTTATTTATCAAGACTATATTTTCATATTTTAAACCAAAATTATGTTTTCACCTGTCTTTCGCTCAATGCTTTAAGAGGTGGAATATGAGTCTTAAGGGAATCATAGAAACCAGCAATTTACTTTCAAAGCAGGTTGTTAGAAATTGATGTCTATGATTATGGCCTTAGTCTGGATAAGCTTTTCAAATAATATATATTTTAATATTTTGATTGTTGCTTATATTGATATATTTATATAGATATATATTTTGTTATTTTAAACGTTTATGCAAAAATATTCATCCAACAATATCCAACAATATTAAATCAACATATATAAAGATTTAATTTGTAATTCTATTTTGATCCTGAAATTCATTGATTTTTGTCCAGTAGGGCAAGATATATTCCCACTTACAATAGACATTAAAATATATCTTAAAGAGGACAGCTCTGATTTGTGCTTATTTCATACAGTTTTCTATAATACAATGAATATTTATAAAGATTAGCTGGTGTACACTAGTGTTTCAACAACAGGTACCAAACAAGTAGTACACACTGGACAAAGTCATCTGTGAGCGAAGAGGAACGCTTGTTTTCTGGAAATAATCAATTTATTTACGATTTAAAATATGCTAAAAACAACTTGTGGCAAAAGTAGATCTGTCCCCCATGTGGTGCCTTGCTGACATTGTAACGCGTTTTACCAACCATTGACTCCCTCAGAAGATGTCAGTACTAGCACACTGTCTATATTTATTCCACTTTCCATTGACACCCATTTTTCTTATTGGATGATTTTAGTATTGAGACATGTCTTTATTCTTGTCAACATTTCAAATGTAACAATGTATCAGATCCTGTGCGGATACTTTAGTAAGCTCAACGTTTCTCTTGCTTGTAATGAGGTCCATTAAAATAAATTTTACGTTCCAAGAATCATATACCAACAGGCTAATTTTGGATGAAATGCATTCAAATTCATGTCACACCAGAAATTTAAAAGTCTTGTAAAGTGTTCAACATTATAAAAAAAAAAAAAATAATAATAATAATAATTTTCAAAAAGCATATAAAAAGACATATTAAGTAAACATATTTTATACAGCGACACATATTGTACATTGCTCTACTTTTTCTATATCTAAAAGATCAAAGATCTTTAAATAATGATTGATTAAGAGTTGCTGACAGACATACAATTAAGAAAAAAATGTTTGTATTGTATTAAAACACTGATGCATAGGGGACCAGCTGAGTCAGTCATATCGTGTTGCAGCTCCTCCGGGAAAATCACATACTGCACCTTAAATTGGTCTTTTATGCTCTTTTTATTTCTGGCTGCAATCTTGTTCTTAACTGCTACATATTAGTAGTTTTCAAGCCTGGAACCTGCAGACACAGACTTTCAGTCGAGGGCAGGTAAGCAGCCAATCCGAGGCCACAACTTGGAGCTTGATAATCCGAAGCCCTGCCCTCCCTCCAACTTTGGACCAGCGGGGGATATCCCAGTCCCCACTGGGGTACTGTAGTGGTCACCTTGCTGAAACCACAATCTACTGGGAGACCAAGAATTAGAAATCAAAATGGCCATCCCACTGGGGCCAGCAGACACTGACATTTCAACTTGCTCGCTACCACACGTGAGCACTTTCCTCCTGGCCTTGTAAATTAATCTGGATGAAGCTTCTGGATAGGACATTCACCTCTGACCCAGATGGCCAAGCTATGGCCTTTCAGAGTCGTCCTGCTACCCATCGACACAAGCATACACAACTCTGGCATCTCCCCAGAGGGACACTGCAGAAGCGGCGGCATACGCAGCCATCAAGGAGGTCATATTTCTCTCATCATTGTGATCCCCATGTTTGATGCAACTCATTTCCTCCATGGCAAAACAAGTTTCATCTGCCCTGGGACAGCCTGCCTGCACCAAGCGCCTAGACATCTCACCATAGGGCATGGAGTATAGAGGAACTGCAACAATGAATCTCAGCTCCCATCTGGCTTACAATCACCCCGTACTGTCTGTTGACCTCTAATTGTTTCTCTCTCATTAAATCTTAGCTGTAATTATCTTTTATATTCTGTCTTTGGTGCATTAACTAAATGACTACACAAAGCTACTCAACTTAACCAGTGGTATTTTCATTTTCATTATGTTCTTTCTCATAGCCCTATTATATAGTTCAGCTTATTTTCTTGTTATGTATTCTCATAGAATAGGGCATTTGATGTCTATTCTACTTCTATACAAAAAATAGTGCACTTTCCTTGACATTTCATGCGAAGCTTACATTTTCGTGTATTATCTCAATTATTGTGTCTATGAGAGTTTGTCTGTAACACTATGCACTGCAAAAATAACGAATTAAAAAAAAAAAATCTGATACATATTCATGCAGAGCTTCTAACATCAGTCAGGATATAATATTTGTTATAATAAACTGTCTCGTATATTTTTCTAATTCATGTATATTGTTATTTTTTTTAAAGAAAAAATTCTTGTCTAGTCTTACCCCACCATCTTTCTTATAACTATCTTCATAATGGCTTATCAGTTATCTGACCCAATGTTCACTGTTTTACAGCTGCCCATTGCGTTACAAAGTCACTGGACAGAAAATGCTGCAGACAATGTTGATGTTTTTTGACCTACAAATGAATTCTCTGATTCCTTGGTTTATTTTCATGATAGGACTGTAGAGAGGTGATTTGAAAAACTATATTTTCTCACTATAAATTAAAACAGATGTACCAGTAATGTTGAGTCCCAGATGGTCCTCTGCTGGTAATCGGGCTGCAATGCAGTGGTGTGCCCTGGGTGCCGCTTGAAGGAGGGCACTCTGAGCCCTTGTTTGAGTGCCAAACTGCAGTGGGAGCGATTTCTGAGTTCTGTATCTACAGGTGGTGCATATCTCACGCTTCCAAGCTGGGCCTTCAGTGACTCAGAACCTCTTTATTGAGTATGATACACTATTGGACCACCAAGGATCATAGCCTCCTTCCTTGCAGAAAACCAAGCGGGAGAGGGCTAAACACATAACATACAGCCACCACACACACATCACATACAACCAGCACATAACACACTTTATTATTCCACATATGGATCATTTATATTTCAAATGAAGCTCTGCATGAATATGCATCAGTCTACTGTGTTTAAAGCTTTGTGTTTGAGATACAGTGCTTGTTATAATTTTTTTTTTAAGAAAAACATTAGGGTGAAAATGACATCCAATTTTAGTGCATACTATAGACGACGTATTAAAAAATAATGCTAAAATCAACTTATTAATTAAAAAATACTTACCTTCAAAGTTTCAGTCCAGGGAGAAAATTGCTTAGCCCAAGCACTGGACAATTTGTGTAAGTACTGGTCCAGATGAATGTACAAATAAATACTAAATAATAGTTATGCCAAATTTTCAGCAACACATACTTAATTCCTTTAACTGTTTTTATTTTTTCATGTTTCAATGTTTAACATAAAAGAATAAAGTACCTACAAAGTCAAGATCTACACAACATAGGCACCAGTCATGTATGTTGCATTGTTAGCACAAATTAGGTTAATAAGTTATAAACATTGCACAAATCATGAGAAGTGACTAGAGGGCAACTTCCCAAACAAGAAGTCAATGCTCACAATTAGCCAATATCCAGTCGTATTATGTTTACAAGTACTATGAGTATTATGAAGTTGCCCTGCTGCTCAACAATGTGAACAATAAGAACATGTAGAACCCAATAGGGCTATAACATGGAACATGGAAAAAAAAGAAAATAGAGAGAAGAATAAACCCCAAGGTGGAAAGACAAATGGTAAAAAAAGAGAGAGAAAAAAGAAAAAGAAATAAAGAGGGGAGGAGTGAACCAAACCAGCCATGCTTCAGTCAGGGCCGGATTTATATCATGAGAACCTATAGTCACAGAATTCTCAAGCACCCCTCCCACCCCTTACTTCCAAGCTAATAATTTTTTAATTTTTTTTAAATTTGATGAAATTTGCTGTATGCACACACACGTAAAGAGTAAGTGAGTAAATGTCTGAGTAAGTGTCTATGTGTGTATGTATTTCTAAATATTTGTGTCAATTTATGTTTGTGCATAGTGTGTACAGTGTGTGTGTTTATTAGTGTTATTATGTAAAAGTGTGGGTAGTAGCAGTATGTATTAAAAATAAAAGAAATTAAAGGAGCCACCCTATTTCTCTGCAATGCTGGGAACAACCCACAAAGACATTAAACGGATGTCAACTTTTACTTAATGAAGCAGAGACTGTAAGGTGTATATACCCTGCAGTGTCATTGCTCAATTGCCTATAGTATCCCTTTAATAATCAGCCAAAAATATAACAAAAAGAGAAAGAAGGAAATGGGATTACCACTTAGATAATATACCCCTATATATATAAAGCGCTTATTATATTAATTATGACAAGTCATTGAATGACTGATACATAATTCCTCTATCTGAGGGAAACAAATATAGAACTCAATTTAAGATTTCCTGGATAACATTTTCAAATATTTTCAAATAAATATATATATATCGAGTCAAGGGATAAAGAAAGTACACCCTCTTTTAATTCTATGGTTTTACATTATTATTATTATTATGTTATTATTTATATAGCGCCGACAAATTCCATAGTGCTTTACAGTGGGTGGACGAACAGACATGTAG